GGACCAGACCTGGACCCGAGTTACGTTGTACATTTTGGACCTGAATCCCAAAGGTTCCCGGGTCGGGTTTCGGGTATTCGGTTTGGGTGGACCTGTGAAGACCTCTGCTTTGAAGTACTCCATCCATCACCTCTCATTAATAGTCACATGGGATTACAGTCAGTACTGCAGCCTAATCACATAGAATACTGTAATCTACTGGTCACTTTAGTTAGGGTCAATCTTTCTACGTTCCTCTTGGTGTTATTAGATTTTAGATGATTGGATGAGTTTATTAGTCACATGCACAGGGTTGCAGATGTAATTGCAGGGTACAGTGAAATTGTTAAGCTCCAACAGTGCAGGTCAAAAAGAGAAGTTAATGAAACAATAATAAATCAACATAATAATAATATATACATATTTACAACTGTAACAATTATAAATGTCCATTGGGGAGCAGGTAGCTGCCTAGTGGTGGCTATTGAGTGGGTGAGGTAATTTATGAACTTCTTGGCCTTCCTGCGTCACCTGGTGTTGTAGGGGTCCTGGAGGGCAGGCAGTGTGCACCCAATGGTGCGTTCGGCTGAGCATACCACCCTCTGTAGTGCCTTGCGGTCAGCGGCGGTGGAGATGCCGTACCAGGCTATGATGCAGCCCGACAGTATGTGCTCGATGGTGCTCCTGTAGAAAACTGCGAGGGCCCTTTCTTCAGCCTCCTGAGTTGCCGTCGTGCCTTCTTCACCATGGTGCCCATGTGGTTTGACCATTTCAGGTTCTTGGAGATTTGTATGCCAAGGAACTTGAAGTTTTTGACTGTATCCAAGGCGGCCCCGTTGATGAGGATGGGGGGGTGCCCAGCCTGGTTCCTCCCGAAGTCCACAATCAGCTCCTTTGTTTTGTTGATGTTGAGGGAGAGGTTGTTTACCTGGCACCACTCCGGCAGAGTGCCTACCTCCTCTCTGTTGGCTGTCTCGTCGTTGTTGGTAATCAGGCCTACTACTGTCGTGTCGTCAGCGAACTTGATGATGGAGTTGGAACTGTGTGAGGCCATGCAGTCATGGTTATACAGGGAGTACAGGAGGGCACTGAGGATACACCCTTGTGGGGCCCCCGTGTTGAGGATCAGTGTGGAGGAGGTAATGTTGCCTACCTTCACCATGGGGACGGCCTGTCAGGAAATCCAGGACCCAGTTGCACAGGGAGGAGTTCAGTCCCAGGGCCGTGAGCTTTGTGGTGAGTTTAGAGTGCACTATGGTATTGAAGGCGAGTGGCGCAGTGGTCTAAGGCACTGCATCGCAGTGCTAGCTGTGCCACTAGAGATCCTGGTTCGAATCCAGGCTCTGTCGTAGCCGGCCGCGACCGGGAGACCCATGGGGCGGCGCACAATTGGCCCAGCGTCGTCCAGGGTAGGGGAGGGAATGGCCGGCAGGGGATGTAGCTCAGTTGGTAGAGCATGGCGTTTGCAACGCCAGGGTTGTGGGTTCGATAAAATAATGTATGTGCTAACTGTAAGTCGCTCTGGATAAGAGCGTCTGCTAAATGACTAAAATGTAAATGTAAATGAAAGCCAGCTGTAGTCAATGAACCGCATCCATTCCTCACATATGCATTCCTTTTGTCCAGGTGGGTGAGGCCAGTGTGCAGTGCAATGGCGATTGCGTCGTCCGTGGATCTGTCGGGGTGGTAGTCGAATTGGGGAGGGTAGAGGTGATGTGGTATTTGACGAGCCTCTCAAAGCACTTCATGATGATGGAAGTGAGTGCTACATTTTATTTTATTTTTATTTTATTTCACCTTTATTTAACCAGGTAAGGCAGTTGAGAACAAGTTCTCATTTACATCTGCTACCTGGCCAATATAAAGCAAAGCAGTGCGATAAAAACAACAACACAGAGTTACATATGGGGTAAACAAAAACATAAAGTCAAAAATACAACAGAAAATATATAAACAGTGTGAGCGAATGTAGCAATAAATAGGCCATAGTGCAAAATAGTTACAATTTCGTATTAACACTGGAATGATAGATGTGCAAAAGATGATGTGCAAATAGAGATACTGGGGTGCAAATTAGCAAAATAAATAACAATATGGGGATGAGGTAGTTGGGTGGGCTAATTACAGAATGGCTGTGTACAGGTGCAGTGATCGGTAAGCTGCTCTGACAACTGACACTTAAAGTTAGTGAGGGAGATAAGAGTCTCCAGCTTCAGAGATTTTTGCAGTTCGTTCCAGTCATTGGCAGCAGAGAACTGGAAGGAATGGCGGCCAAAGGAGGTGTTGGCTTTGGGGATGACCAGTGAGATATACCTGCTGGAGCGCAGACTACGGGTGGGTGTTGCTATGGTGACCAGTGAGCTAAGATAAGACGGGGATTTGCCTAGCAGTGATTTATAGATGACCTGGAGCCAGTGGGTTTGGCAACGAATATGTAGTGAGAGCCAGCCAACAAGAGCGTACAGGTCACAATGGTGGGTAGTATATGGGGCATTGGTGACAAAACTGATGGCACTGTGATAGACTACATCCAATTTGCTGAGTAGAGTGTTGGAGGCTATTTTGTAAATGACATCGCCAAAGTCAAGGATCGGTAGGATAGTCAGTTTTACTTTGTTGCGAAATAGGAAGCAGATTCTAGATCTAACTTTTGATTGGAGATGCTTAATGTGAGTCTGGAAGGAGAGTTTACAGTCTAACCAGACACCTAGGTATTTGTAGTTGTCCACATACTCTAGGTCAGACCCGCCGAGAGTAGTGATTCTAGTCGGGTGGGCGGGTGCAAGCAGCGTTCGGTTGAAGAGCATGCATTTAGTTTTACTAGTGTTTAAGAGCAGTTGGAGGCTACGGAAGGAGTGTTATATGGCGTTGAAGCTCGTTTGGAGGTTTGTTAACACAGTGTCCAATGAAGGGCCAGATGTATACAAAATGGTGTCGTCCGCATAGAGGTGGATCCGAGCGTCACCAGCAGCAAGAGCGACATCATTGATATACACAGAGAATAGAGTCGGCCCGAGAATTGAACCCTGTGGCACCCCCATAGAGACTGCCAGAGGTCCAGACAACAGGCCCTCCAATTTGACACATTGAACTCTATCTGAGAAGTAGTTGGTGAACCAGGCGAGGCAGTCATTTGAGAAACCAAGGCTATTTAGTCTGCCAATAAGAATGCAGTGGTTGACAGAGTCGAAAGCCTTGGCCAGGTCGATGAAGACGGCTGCGCAGTACTGTCTTTTATCGATTGCGGTTATAATATCGTTTAGGACCTTGAGCGTGGCTGAGGTGCACCCATGACCAGCTCGGAAACCGGATTGCATAGCGGAGAAGGTACGTGGGATTCGAAATGGTCGGTGATCTGTTTGTTAACTTGGCTTTCAAATACTTTCGAAAGGCAGGGCAGGATGGATATAGGTCTGTAACAGTTTGGATCTAGAGTGTCACGCCCTTTGAAGAGGGGGATGACCGCGGAAGCTTTCCAATCTCTGGGGATCTCAGACGTTACGAAAGAGAGGTTGAACAGGCTAGTAATAGGGGTTGCGACAATTTCAGCAGCTAATTTTTGAAAGAAAGGGTCCAGATTGTCTAGCCCAGCTGATTTGTAGGGGTCCAGATTTTTCAGCTCTTTCAGAACATCAGCTGTCTGAATTTGTGTGAAGGAGATGCGGTGGGGGGGGGGGGGGGGGCATGGGCAAGTTGCAGCGGAGGGTGCAGAGCTGGTGGCCGGGGTAGTGGTAGCCAGGGGGAAAGCATGGCCAGCCATAGCAAAATGCTTGTTGAAATTCTCGATTATTGTAGATTTATCAGTGGTGACAGTGTTTCCTAGCCTCAGTGCAGTGGGCAGTTGGGAGGAGGTGCTCTTATTCTCCATTGACATTACAGTGTCCCAAAGCTTTTTGGAGTTAGTGCTACAGGATGCAAATTTCTGTTTGAAAAAGCTAGCCTTTGCTTTCCTAACTGATTGTGTATATTGGTTCCTGACTTCCCTGAAAAGTTGCATATCGCGGGGGCTGTTCGATGCTAATGCAGTATGCCACAGGATGTTTTTGAGCTGGTCAAGGGCAGTCAAGTCTGAGGAGAACCAAGGGCTATATCTGTTCTTAGTTCTGAATTTTTTGAATGGGGCACACTTATTTAAGATTGAGAGGAAAGCACTTTTAAAGAACAACCAGGCATCCTCTACTGACAGAATGAGGTCAATATCCATCCAGGATACCCGGGCCAGGTAAATTAGAAAGGCCTGCTCGCTAAAGTGTTTTAGGGAGCGTTTGACAGTGATGAGGGGTGGACGTTTGACCGCGGACCCATTACGGACGCAGGCAATAAGGCAGTGATCGCTGAGATCCTGGTTGAAGAGTATTGTATTTAGAGGGTCAATTTGTCAGGATTATATCTATGAGGGTGCCCATGTTTACAGATTTAGCGTTGTACCTGGTAGGTTCGTTGATAATTTGTGTGAGATTGAGGGCATCTAGTTTAGATTGTAGGTTGGCCAGGGTGTTAAGCATGTCGGTAGTCATTCAGTTCAGTTACTTTCCTTTTGATGACCCTGTTTATGGCGTTCCAAATATCATGTTGATATGACAAAAAAAAATTATGCCTGAAATATTCCAGTTTATACATATTTACTTTTAATAAAAGTGCCTGGGCCAGTGAGGCCACTACACGTTTTGACGTTCGTTCTGAGAGACTCGTGATATCGGTAAACCTAACTGACGTCGCGTGCTTCCGCTTGACAAGCACCAAGGTAAACCAATCATTGTCAGTCATTTTTTTACGTCAGCCAATGGCGATTTCAGTATTTTGTTTAGAGGCGGAGTTTCTGAGAAACACAGAGAAATGGGTTAGGTTGTTAGCTAGAAAGTTAGCTAATGGCTGGGGGAAAGAGATCCTCCTCAACCCTCGCTTCGGGAGAGTTTCAGGATTTCCTGAAGTAAAAACACCCGAATATTCTACAAGAGATACCCCTAAAGGAAGTTAAGGTCAACAATAAGAACGCTAATATACGTATTGTCAAGATAAGTATGCAGGATGCAGTAGCCGGGACGAGAATGCTGACGGACGGCTTCGAGGACGAGATCGACTCGGTGACTCCTCGCACCCCAGCGGTAGGGATGGGGGTAGGAGCAACACCAGGAGTCGGACTCCGGGGCATAGGGATTGGTGTGGGCGGAAAGAAAGTACGATTGTTTGGCGAGCCCGGTGGGCCTTCTACAGATAGACTGGATTTCAAACTGGCTGCGGCTGCAGTCCTTTCCTCTGGTCCCGGATCCAACAGCGACGAAGACGAGGTCTCAGAGGTAACGTTAGCTGGATATGCTAGTTAGCCAGCTAGCTAGCAAACGTTCATCTCCCTGTCTAGCCAGCTAGTTAGTTGTGGGCAGCCACCCTCTCTTAGGCTGACGAAATAACCTAAAAAACAACTAAGAATTTGCTCGAAACATGTCTCCAGCAAACTCAATTTCTCATGGGTTGTCAGACATAAGGCAAATAGTGCAAGACAGCAACATAATTGTACGATAACCGATGGAATGTTTTATTTATGCGGCGTAGGCTGTGACCACGGCCTAGTTCGGGTGGAAGCGATCATGCCATCGTCAGTGCTAGCTAACGTTAGTAAGTTAGCAATCGTCTCGCAGCGCAGACACACATTCTCAACTTCGGACACTGTACACAGTGGTGGGAGAGTACGTATTCACACACAGTCAGAACAAGCACGGGCTGTCAATCTTGCCAATATTAAAACTAGCTCAAATGTTATCGTAATGGTGCAATTACGTCACCTTTTTATAAATGATATCAATTTTAAATCCGACTGTCCTTCAATTCCTCAACACACGTTTTAGACAGCTAGTTAGCTAACGTTAACTGTCGTAGCTAGTTGAGTGGTCGATCATCGTGGTATCATAAATAAAGAACACGGAGGGATCAGATGACACTGGTCTCAGCCTCACGAGACGGTGCCAACTAAATGGCCAACTCTATCACTGTCCTGCGCTGTTACAATTGATAACAGTCCCCTTTCTGAGCTGTGGGCAACTTTACATGTGTTGGCAGGCTTACAGGGCACCACGGTTGAGGTTGATACCTGACAGTTGATCTAAGATCGCGAGCTACAACATGGTCACACGCACACAAACACAAACCACGAGTTCCTGTTCTGTCATCAGTAATGATGATGACAACACAACGGTTTCAACTGTAAAATCTTTCTTATGTGGATTGGTTCCCTGACACGTTTGCCCTCTGCGTGTTCACCACCAACCAATCAACATCTGCTTCCAGGTCAGGTGAAGGTGTGACTTTTGAAGCCACACCTGTGGTTGCCCTGCCATACTATGCCCTACCAAACCATGCCCTACTATACCATACCCAGCCCAACCCTAACCTGTCTGTGGACTTGAGGCGGCCATGACACTATCAAGTTGTCTGACTGACACATCGCTACCTGTCTGGCTATCCTGTCCACTTCCTACACAGGCTACAAAAACACCATGCCTGCCTTGTTATTCTAACTGTTGAAATGTAATTAGGCTTGCATGGCATGGCGTCATGTGACAGTCTATGGACTGCCATTCTAGGAACACAGTCTAGGATAATGTTTGCCTGAAAACCCAACGTTGAATTTCATTGAATTCTACGTCGGTCAAAAATGAGTGTTTGGTTCAGGAAAATTTCCTCTCACGACCTCTACAAGCCAGCAAATTATATTTAAACAGTCTAGACCGGTTGTTACCGCTGTTGGTCCTTTTGACGGTAGGAATGTGAGACCATATAACCACAGGAAAGTATAGTTAAATCACTTTATCAAAGCTGGTAGTGCATTGAGATGTCTATCACCTGAAGCATGGGTAGAACCAGGTAAACACGTGCACCAGCTCGGCAAGTATGCATGCGTGCTGTGCTTGCGTTTTCATTTTGTGCGCATGCTTCAGGTGATAGAAATCTCAACGCACTACCAGCGCTTTGAAAAGTTGATGTAATTATACTTTCCTGTGGATATAATGTCTCTCATCCCTACCTGCAAAAGGACCAACCACACAGACAACTGGTAAAGTAAGTTAAAATATCATTTTATTCAACATTCTGGCTGATGGAGTTGGAGAGAGGAAATGTTCCTGAATCAAACACTAATTTCTGCCCGACATAGAATTCAATGCAGTCGGGTTTCTAGGCAAGGATCGTGTGTGTGACGCATGTTGGAACTGCCAGACCAGACGACAACCTGATAGTGATGCAGGGCTAAGGGGCACAATCCAGATAATACTGGAAAATCAATCCACTAATACGGTTCTCATACATTTAAACAAAGGGTTTTATTTATTCATGAGGCAGTGACATTTTTTTTCTGTCATGTTATAAGTCTATCTGTTGTAACATGTGCACCTGCAGAGAGCACTTTCCCATTTCATGGTGTTGGATGGATGGAAGCTGTGGAGCCTGGCATGTTAACAGGGTGAAGACACTGCCTGTTGAGCTACCACCTCCTGACCATACCATAACCCACAAGTAAATAGTGAGCATTACATCTGCAATGGATTATAAGTTCTTATGTTTCATTTGGAAAATGAGATGGGGGGGATAGGAGACGAAAGCAGGCAGCTATCTTTCTCGCTCTCGCTCTACCTTCTGTTGGGAATTAGTTGAGGCTGAATGTACAGTATATGTCTGATACCTGTGTCATGTTTTGTGGCCTTCCTAAAAGGCCTTGAGGATCTGGCTGAAAGGGAGGTATTGTTGTGAAATGTTAGCCTAGTGGAGAGCTCACTCCTGTGGGCTGCAGCTGAACTCTGAGCTCCAGGATTAAGCAGATGCCTTTCCAGGCCTTTCCAGCTCTCCGGATGCAACACAGTGCTGGGAACTGTAGTTCATTGATGGGCAGAACTGATGTACATTGTTGTTTGTGAGAGCCCTCTTGGAACTACATCCCCCAAAAGTAATTGTTTTCTGCATTCCAAGTGTATAGCTACATTCCTCCACACAGACTGCCGCTAGTCTGTCTGTGGACACCCAGTAGCTTTTCCTTACTGGTCCTCATCTCTGTAAAGGACTACAGCTAAGAGCAGACTATTGACGGAGTTAGCGCAGTCATCTTTTTATTTTGAATGCTGTTTGACAGTTGCAGGTGGCACATTGTTTTCATGACATATCTTTGCATACTGTACTACTAGGAATGTGACCAGTTTGTCTTAATTATTTAATGTTTTTGTGTGAATTTGAAACAGTTTACTACCTATTGTCTGAAGTTTAAACACATCATTAATGCTCTTTTGAATATTGCTATTGTTGAATTCACAGGATCTATTCCCTCATTTTATCTGCACTCACGTCACGTTCCTCATAAATCTTTGCCAAGCAATGCTAGTAAACGGTACACTATTTTGGAGCTGGGACAGGTTGGTTGGCATGTTGGGTACACAGACAGACACAAGCCCCTCTCTCTGGCCCTGACCTTGGGCAGCTGCAGTCCCAGCACGGAGCTGCGCCAGGGGGCCCGTGCTGTATGTACTGAATTTGCCGCATACTGTTTTCCTCCTCAATGCTTTTGTGCTGTTCTGTGTTAAAGGGTCAGCTATGGGCCAACACTCCCAGGCACCAATACCGTACCCCCCAGCTACATACAGCCATGTACAGTCCAATACCATACGGTCAAGCCAGCCTTTCTCTCAGAGCTGGAAACTGATGGATATGGTTTTTAAATCAAGAGCTTGGCTTGCACTGTTTACAGTACACTAACTTATCAGAGCCCGCTTGGCCCCACTGGAGAGAACCTCATGCTGGTTGATGGTGTTGATATGGAACGGATGTCACTCCATGTATGTTTTTGAGATGTTTATTATGGAACAGTTGTTTTGCTCCTTGACCCACATCAAACTCTTGAATGTTTTCAGTTATTACACACACAAAGCAAACAAACTCATGTTTTTTGGTCAAAAGACAGTTTTCGGTTGCAAATCCCCTTAAAGGAATCAGCGTAATATGAACCACCATTTTGGAAAACATTGATTTAGAACATTTAAGGAGTTTGTACACCGAAAATGTTTGAGTTAGTTTGCGGACGACGTTGTGAGGTAGAAAACTGAGATGGAAATCTGTGTCCGTCACGAGTGTCGTCCTACATGGAGACCCTGGATCTTAGATATTCTATAGCTAGGTTGGCCTTTTGTGCTCAGCTCAGGGTAACTCACTCTACCTTAGAGCCAAGCCATTCATCAAACAACGGTTCCAGACTGGAGAAACGGGCTCTGTTCTCTCCCATCCACATCAGAGTTGCACTTACACTGGGAACATATCATATGCATAATATGTTAACCTTTCCCCACTGAGTCTAAGTTTTGTTAGCATGGAGTGGACATGGACTATATTATCTACCATTAAGTACATTTTCTATCTAAACCAGGGATGGGCAACTCCAGTCCTCGGGGGCCGAGTGGTGCAGAGTATGTGAGCGGAGTTGAGCTGTCGGAAATCCCGCTCTGCGCTCCACTTTCCAACTGCTCTGCTAAAAACCACTCCTCGCTCACAGGAAGAAATAAAACAACCTCTACACATTATCTCCATTCATTTTTTTGGTTTAAGTCACAATTTAAACAACTCCCCATCTATCTTTTTGACTACGTGGACCTGCCATTTGGTTTTGAAGTATTGAAACCAAACCATATGATTTGAATAGAAATTATTTGTTATAAACAACAGGAAAAGGTGACTGTAAGAAGCGCTCATCGTTTCAAATAGGCTACATGTCGTATTGAACAGCATATAAACACTCTAAACAGCCACTGGTAAATAAGGAATTATTTCGGCTATATCATTAGCCTAATTCAATGATTAGGCTGGCAGGAACATTAAGCGCTCAGCATTTAAACAACATTTTGTTATTAAATCACGATAGTCTATAAATTGTCAATTTAGAGGCTGTGACTTACTTAGAATTAAATCAAAATGAAACGGTGCCTTTGAGTTCACTTTTAGAAACAAGTTTGGCCAGAGTCTTGTGGCTTCAGGCTCATGTGATGGTGCCTGTAGAGCAGGCCAGCAGCGGAGAATACCCTCTCCACGCTTGCAAAGCCACTGGGGATGCTAAACACCCTCCGGGCCACTCTCCAGGCACCATCGCTTGAAGCCACAAGACTCTGGCCAAACTTATTTCTAAAAGTGAATTCAAAGGCGCTGTTTCATTTTCATAGCCTCAGTTTCCATCACGAGGAGGTAGCGTATCTCCAAGCTGGTTACGCACCAGTTCATCCCCTATCACCCAATCAGTTTTAAACCTGGGCTCCAGGACTGCGAGGACCAGAATGTTTATCGTTATTGTACTGAGTGGAGACGTTATCTGATAGTGTTTCTGCAAAGCAGCAATGTCTATGGGCTGAGACACTGTAGTCAACAGTTTCTTTTATTTCCGACATGGCAGGGAGAATCATGCCCAGGGTCCCCAGCTCTTTCTGCATAGTGGTGTCAGAACCTCCACCAGGACCTGTTTGCCAATACATTTAGTTTAGGGGGAATTTTTCATAATCGGACATAGACTTCAGTTTGTTTTGCCACAATGGGCCTCTTTCGAACATCTTCATTACAGACTCAATGATGCGTAATTGGCTGTTCCATCTTGTCATGCAGGCTTCTGTGGGGTGCACTCCCAATCTGTCACTTTCCTCTGTGTTCAATGTACTCTTCCTAACACTTTTCACAAGTTTCCCCACTTTCTGGATCAGTCCACTAACCCCATCATGCATGTTAATGGGATCCTTTATTGCGAGCTGAAGCATGTGAATTGGGCACTGTAAATTGAGATTTGACTCCGAAGTATTGGTTTACAATCGTGTCAATGTTGTTGGCTATATGGTCAGTTTGGGACTGAGAGTGCAGGTGGTGCGTCCTACTCCTCCGTGTCGGATGCCTCCTCTTAGTCCTGTCCATCATTGGTCTACTCTAAAGCAGGTAGGGTGAAGGCCTTGACCATGTTGCTTGCGCTGTCAGTCACCACTTGTATCAGCTGTCGCTGCACGTTCTAGTTCCTCAGGATACTTTGATATTTCTGCTAAATGGCCTCTGCTGTGTGGTGTCCTTGTATGTGCTCGCAGCTCAGCAACACCATGTGGCCTTTATATTTTCCGTCAATGAAACTAGCGACAATCCCCCAGGAAACTGTGCCCCCTTCTGCTAGTCCAAATGTCAGTTGACACAACGAAACCATCACCTAGTTGCAATAGATCTCTCAGCATGGCTTCAATTTCTTGGAGGGCATGAGGGTGTCTCGGACCGTACTATAGCAAGGCTGTGTAGCCTGGTTGAGCTGCACGTACAAAGTACCGGATCCCTTCCCATTCTCCCTTAGTTAGGGGCTCATAGTCCAAGTAAACCATTTAAAAAGAAAGCCTCATCCAATTGGCTCTTTCTCTTCCGCGACACTGCCGGGGCTTTACGTGCAGAAAAGTAATATTGGAGTGTGTCTTTCTCCTGCAAAGTTCATGGCTGCTGCATCTCCTTCTCTGTAAATACAAATTAGGACTGACACCAATTAGTCGACTGGTTGATAGGCTGTTGGTCGACCAATATTTCTTTAGTCAAGCAGCAGCAAATATGTTTTTTTTTATGGCTCACGACACCTGTCTGATTCACACCCATCTCAGTGAACTAATCCATTGCGGAGGCCGAGACTAATCCATTGCGGAGGCCGCAGGGATGGCACAGTCCAAGAAGGGGAGTGTGGCTAAGATGCACAATGCACGTCTCTCTCAGAATGTGCGCTCTCCCGTCAATTTGTGCACATTCATTGTTTCATAACTTCATTGTGTGGATTGTATGTTTGATTGTTAGTGTCTATCAATTCCACATATATCACCAGCAGTACGTTTACCGTTAATTCCTATTTCTCATCTACAATGTTTGTTTGGTTACGGTCATTTCTGTTAATGCATTCAGTATATTATTATTATTATTATTATTATTATTCCAGTCTTTTACCGTTCCTGGAACAAAATGTTTTTGTATAATGTTTCTATAGGTACATTTACATTTTAGTCATTTAGCAGATGCTCTTATCCAGAGCGACTTACAGTTAGTGAGTGCATACATGTTTTGTTATTTTTTTGATATTTTCTATTAATTTTTCATACTGGCCCCCCGTGGGAATTGAACCCACAACCCTGGCGTTGCAAACGCCATGCTCTACCAACTGAGCTACACGTAGGCCTATAGAAAGCTCCTTGGAAGAAGTCATATGTCAGGCCTATTGGTCCAAAATCAATGATAATAGAACCTTGTTCCTTTCTGTTAGCATGTGCACATAGTACACCTTCATGCTTTCGGGATATGTGTCTTTTCAGATTCCACAATGATTCTTTAGTTGTAGACACTCACTCTCTTCCTCTTGTTCCTCCTCATCTTTTTAAGTCACCTTGAGTTTGCTCCTCTGTGTTTTTTATCATTCTTGATGAAAATATTTAGTGAACTCCATGACAGTAGCTAAAGCAAAGGGCTATAGCAGCACACAAGTAGACTACAGATGCATGCTGGGCCGGGCATGCCCTGAGCTCGTGAAGTGAGCACTACTGGAGTGAAATTGGAGTGGGCGAGAAAGCCGACCCTCCAGCCTTTGGGGAAACTCGCCCCGAGCTCCAGTCAAATTGGGCACTCCTCCTCGCTCCCGCGCCACTCCGCTCACATACACTGGAGCTGTGTCACCCTAGCAAACACAGCTGATTTAAACTAATTGCATTCTAAACTGAAGATCATGATTAGTTGATTATTGGAGTCAGGTATGTTAGCTGGGAGTATTTTTTTAGGTACCCTTCCACCGATCTGTGCCTCGCCACAATCCTGTCTCAGAGCTCTACGGACAATTCCTTCAACCTCATGGCTTGGTTTTTGCTCTGACATGCACTGTCAACTGTGGGACCTTTATATAGACAGGTGTGTCCCTTACCAAATCATATCCAATCAATTGAATTTACCACAGCTGGACTCCAATCAATTTGTAGAAACATATCAAGGATGATCAATGGAAACAGGATGCACCTGAGCTCAATTTCGAGGCTCATAGCAAAGGGTCTGAATACTTATGTAAATAAGGTATTTCTGTTTTTAATTTGTTAGTACATTTGCAAATAATGTGTCATTATGGGGTATTGTGTGTAAATTGAGGAACATTTTTTATTGAATCAATTTTAGAATAACCCTGTAATGTAACAAAATGTGGGGAGGTCAAAGGGTCTGAATACTTTCCGAATGCAGTGCATCTGAAGCCTTGACTTGACGGAGTCTTCCTCAATGCTCAGACCATGTCCGTTATAAGGCCTCTTGGCCAATGTGAATGTGTCAGGCTGCAATGCTACTCTAGAGGCCCTGGCTAAAGATGGAGGGATGGACTTTGCATCAGACCTGACGTGACACCTCGGTGTGTACAGAATGTCTAGGTCAACAAAGGGAAAAACCAGCACAGGCCTGAGGCCTACGTATAGGACAGGGACTCCTTGAGAAATTACAGTGGGAGGTTTCGTTTTCACTGTCCCTGCCTGCCATAAAGCAGGCTGAAAGTTCATCCTAACCCTACAGCTGTCCCAGACCAAATGTCTGTGTCGGTGGGCCAAAATATATAGTCTGGTGTGATGTTTAATTGACATGACCTTGTCCTGGTCAGTTCACGCGTTCAGGAAAAACTTGAAGCTCAGCCTAATGCTTTCTGCATGCTTTTGTTCGGTTGGCACCTAACCGAACGAGTGTGCTCGCAATACTCCCTTTAAAGACCTTGAAAAATGAAAGAATGCTGCAATAGTACTTTGTCCATCTCGAGATGCCATAGCCCGTATATACTTCCTCAAAATAGTCAGAATTAATCTAAGAAAACTCAAGAAATCTGTCATACATTTTTAAGTTTATGCCAAGGCGATCTTAGTTGCTAAATTTTACATCTAAAAAGTGAAAAAATGTGCTTGAAAACAATTAGTCTCTCGTTGAATGATAAACACTTAATTGAAGAATCCCTACTGTTGACCAATCACCGCCGAAGGGGTGTATACTTCATCCCTACTGTTGACCAATCACTGCCGAAGGGGTGTATACTTCATCCCTACTGTTGACCACCGCCGAAGGGGTGTAAACTTCGGCAACCGACTTCCGCTTGCCTTGAGAAAATAATGTGTGTGCACGAGCAGCCGAAAAAAAACCTTGCCGAAGACCAAAACATCACAATGTGGTCATAATATATTGCTGAACTGTTTCAAATGGGAAGCCTTAAGTCTCATACAGACACAACTTTGGACCAAAATGCAGAGACATGTAACTGAACCTCCCTTTTATAAACAATAACAATGTCTGACATAATTCTCTGGAAAAGATGTGTGTTAAAAATATGGAACCACACCCCTCATTTGTCTGGTCATTTGTTTAGAGTAAATGCAGTATCCATTCTACCCGGCAACACGCCACGGCCAATACGTTTCAGCTGAAGTTGGTTATCTGATCCACGCGTTTCTACTCCCTCATGCGGTGGTGTTGGAGAAAAACATCCAGTCATGCAAATAAGACTGGAATTGTGGAGGACACCAGTCAAACTGGAGAGCTGTGCTAGTTTACATTAGACCCCTTGTCTTAGTTGTTGATGACAAAGTCAAATATATACCTATGGATACAGATTTTTAAGCAATATAATATTACACGTTTTGGGTGTCGGCTGCAGATGATGATGCAACATCAAAAGTGAGATTTCCCTGTCTGCTGTTATGTACTTTATAAATTGTGCATTGCTTTTCTCCCCCCCCCCCCCCCCCTCTCCTTACCCAAGGTGGAGTCATTTATCTTGGACCAGGAGGACTTGGAGAACCCCATCATGAAGACTGCCTCTGAGCTGCTTTTGTCCAGCGCCACAGACGGTGTGGACCTACGCACCGTTGACCCAGAGACACAGGCCCGCCTCGAGGCCCTGCTAGAGGCTGCAGGTACGACCCTGAACCCATCTCTGGGCCCTAACCCTGACCCCTGTTGTTCAGAACCCAACTGGGCCCAATCCCACGGTTCAGCCCTGTCCCAAACCTGCCTCTATTTAGTCTAACTCAATTCAAACTCACTTCACCCTAAGACTTAGGCCTAGTACCCCATCCAAACCAATTCTATCCAACCCTACTTGACGTGAAAGGACCCCACCAGCAACCCAATTCCACCCTACCAGAACCCGACTCGCCCATCTAGTACTTCCCACAAACCTGACCCTAACACCTTGCCTTGCAGACTGTCGCATTTCTGCTTGATCCATTGAAGTGAACGTGTGGTTATCTGCATCTTGCACAGCATAGCTGTCACCTACCGTCCGACCATGTTAGATCACTGGTTACTTCAGGGGAAGGAGGAAGGCAGGAGGCGTTTCAAACAGGGCAAAGCCAGCCTGATGGAAAACCAGAAAGAGATATGTCCATGTTTCTAATGTCAACGTGTGTGTGCATAGCCTTCGGAAAGTATTCAGACGCCTTGACTTTTTCTACATTTTGTTACGTTACAGCCTTATTATAAAATCGATTTAAATAAATAAAAAAATCCTCATCTACACACAATACCCCATAATGACCAAAACTGTTTTTTTGGAAAACAGGTTTTTAGAAACGTTTGCTAATTTATTAGAAATTAAAAACAAAAATACCTTATTTATATAAGTATTAAGACCCTTTGTTATGAGACTCGAAATTGAGCTCAGGTGCATCCTGTTTCCATTGATCATCCTTGAGATGTTTCTACTACTGGATTGGAGTCCACCTGTGCTAAATTCAATTGATTGGACATGATTTGGAAAGGCACACACCTGTCTATATAAGGTCCCACAGTTGAAAGTGCATGTCAGAGCAAAAACCAAGCCATGAGGTCGAAGGAATTGTCCGTAGAGCTCCGAGACAGGATTGTGTCGAGGCACAGATCTGGGGAGGTGTACCAAAACATTTCTGCAGCATTGAAGGTCCCCAAGAACCTTAAATGGAAGAAGTTTGGAGGTGACCAAGAACACGATGGTCACTCTGACAGAGCTCTGGAGTTCCTCTGTGGAGATGGGAGAACCTTCTAGAAGGACAACCCGATCTGCAGCACTCCACCAATCAGGCCTTTATGGTAGAGTGGCCAGACGGAAGCCACTCCTCAGTAAAAGGCACATGACAGCCCGCTTGGAGTTTGCCAAAAGGCACCTAAAGACTCTCAGACCATGAGAAACAAGATTCTCTGGTCTGATGAAACCAAGATTGAACTCTTTGGCCTGAATGCCAAGCGTCACGTCTGGAGGAAACCTGGCACCATCCCTACGGTGAAGCATGGTGGTGGCAGCATCATGCTGTGGGGATGTTTTTCAGTGGCAGGGACTGGGAGACTAGTCAGGATCGAGGCAAAGATGAACGGAGCAAAGTACAGAGAGATCCTTGATGAAAACCTGCTCCAGAGCTCTCAGGACCTCAGACTGGGGCGACGGTTCACCTTCCAACAGGACAACGACCCTAAGCACACAGCCAAGACAACGCAGGAGTGGCTTCGGGACAAGTCTCTGAATGTCCTTGAGTGGCCCAGCCAGAGCTCGGACTTGAACCCGATCGAACATCTCTGGAGAGACCTGAAAATAGCTGTGCAGCGACACTCCCCTCCAACCTGACAGAGCTTGAGAGGATCTGCAGAGAAGAATGGGAGAAACTCCCCAAATACAGGTGTGCCAAGCTTGTAGCGTCATAACCAAGAAGACTCGAGGCTGTAATCGCTGCCAACAGTGCTTCAACAAAGTACTGAGTAAAGGGTCTGAATATCACCTTTCCATCAAGTCAGTTCGTCACAATTCTGCCCTGCTAGAGCTGCCCCGGTCAACTGTAAGTGCTGTTATTTTGAAGTGGAAACTTCTAGGAGCAAGAACGTGAAGTGGTAGGCCACACAAGCTCACAGAATGTGACCGCCGAGTGCTGAAGCGCGTAAAAATCGTCTTGCCTCAGTTGCAACACTCACTACCGCATTCCAAACTGCCTCTGGAAGCAATGTCAGCACAATAACTGTTCGTCGGAAGCTTCATGAAATGGGTTTCCATGGCCAAGCAGCCGCACACAAGCCTAAGATCACCATGCACAATGCCACACGTTGGCTGGAGTGGTGTAAAGCACGCCACCATTGGACTTTGGAGCAGTGGAAAGGCGTTTTTGGAGTGAATAATCACGCTTTACCATCTGGCAGTCCGACGGACGAATCTGGATTTGGCAGATGCCAGGAGAACGCTATCTGCCCCAATGCATAGTGCCAACTGTAAAGTTTGGAGGAAGAATGGTCTGGGGCTGTTTTTCATGGTTCGGGCTAGGCCCCTTATTTCCAGTGAAGCGAAATGTTATTCTGTGCTTCAACTTTGTGGCAACAGTTTGGGGAAGGCCCTTTCCTGTTTCAGCATCACAATGTCCCCGTGCACAAAGCGAGGTCCATACAGAAATGGTTTGTCGAGATCGGTGTGGAAGAACTTGACCCTCCTGCACAGAGTCGAGATCGGTGTGGAAGAACTTGACCCTCCTGCACAGAGCCCTGACCTCAACCCCATCGAACACCTTTGGGGTGAATTGTAAAGCAGACTGCGAGCCAGGCCTAATCGCTCAACATCAGTGCTGGATGTTAAAGCTATGTTGTAGGGTTGTTACATGGTGTTCATGGTGTTCTCATAGATAGTTCCAGTGGATTAGACAGCAGGCCCTCAGATTTGACACATTGTACACAGCCAGAGAAGTCTTTTTCAAACTAGGCTAGGTCGCTGAGTCTGAGCAGGATGCAGTGGTTAACAGACTCAAAGGCTTTAGCCAGATCAGTAAAAACAGCCTCACAATACTGCTTGTTGTCAAAAGCTGATATGATGTTGTTTAGACAGGACAATACAACGATCAACCCCCCAAACCTCAGCCTTCCACCACTTGCCCTGCCCTGCCTGCCCGCCTGGGGAAATGTTGTGAAATCCTTCTGACAGCTAGGCATAGCCAAAGTTTAGTCTCACTCACACAGGCAGAGCAGAGGGTAGTAGTTATGACAACACTGACTGGCAGGACCCACCCACTCACACAGAGTTTTACTTCTAAACTTTTCTGTTACAAAGATGTTTGCGTACCGTGTGGCTGCTGTCTTAATCTCTGACCCAACTTTTGCTTTTTTCTGATTCTTTTGGCGTTTATCTTTACTTTACTGTGCTGTTGCTTGCAAGTTTTAGATTTTCACTGTACTTGTGCATGTGACAACTAAAACTTCCACTAATGTAGGGTAAAGGCAAACGTATGCCTCTACGCTCACTTTCTCCCCGTCTCTTGTGTCAACACACACACACAGATATAACATATAGCCCCTGGTTCTCCTCAGACTTGACTGCCCTTGACCAGCACAAAAACATCCTGTGGCGTATTGCATTAGCATCGAACAGCCCCCGCGATATGCAACTTTTCAGAGAAGTCAGGAACCAATATACACAATCAGTTAGGAAAGCAAAGGCTAGCTTTTTCAAACAGTTATTTGCATCCTGTAGCACTAACTCCAAAAAGTTTTGGGACACTGTAAAGTCCATGGAGCATAAGAGCACCTCCTCCCCACTGCACTGAGGCTAGGAAACACTGTCACCATCGATAAATCTACAATAATCGAGAATTTCAACAAGCATTTTACTACGGCTGGCCATGCTTTCCACCTGGCTACCACTACCCCGGCCACCAGCTCTGCACCCTCCGCTGCAACTTGCCCATGCCTCCCCCGCTTCTCCTTCACACAAATTCAGACAGCTGATGTTCTGAAAGAGCTGAAAAATCTGGACCCCTACAAATCAGCTGGGCTAGACAATCTGGACCCTTTTCTTTCTAAAATTAGCTGCTGAAATTGTCGCAACCCCTATTACTAGCCTGTTCAACCTCTCTTTCGTAACGTCTGAGATCCCCAGAGATTGGAAAGCTGCCGCGGTCATCCCCCTCTTCAAAGGGCGTGACACTCTAGATCCAAACTGTTACAGACCTATATCCATCCTGCCCTGCCTTTCGAAAGCCAAGTTAACAAACAGATCACCGACCATTTCGAATCCCACCGTACCTTCTCCGCTATGCAATCCGGTTTCCGAGCTGGGCATGGGTGCACCTCAGCCACGCTCAAGGTCCTAAACGATATTATAACCGCGATCGATAAAAGTCAGTACTGCGCAGCCGTCTTCATCGACCTGTTCAAGGCTTTCGACTCTGTCAACCACCGCATTCTTATTGGCAGACTAAATAGCCTTGGTTTCTCTGACTGCCTCGCCTGGTTCACCAACTACTTCTCAGAGTTCAATGTGTCAAATCGGAGGGCCTGTTGTCTGAACCTCTGGCCGTCTCTATGGGGGTGCCACAGGGTTCAATTCTCGGGCCGACTCTATTCTCTGTGTATATCAATGATGTCGCTCTTGCTGCTGGTGACGCTCGGATCCACCTCTATGCGGACGACACCATTTTGTATACATCTGGCCCTTCATTGGACACTGTGTTAACAAACCTCCAAACGAGCTTCAATGCCATACAACACTCCTTCTGTAGCCTCCAACTGCTATTAAACACTAGTAAATCTAAATGCATGCTCTTCAACCGATCGCTGCTTGCACCCGCCCACCCGACTAGAATCACTACTCTCGGCGGGTCTGACCTAGAGTATGTGGACAACTACAAATACCTAGGTGTCTGGTTAGACTGTAAACTCTCCTTCCAGACTCACATTAAGCATCTCCAATCAAAAGTTAGATCTAGAATCGGCTTCCTATTTCGCAACAAAGCCTCCTTCACTCATGCTGCCAAACATGCCCTCGTAAAACTGACTATCCTACCGATCCTTGACTTCGGCGATGTAATTTACAAAATAGCCTCCAACACTCTACTCAGCAAATTGGATGTAGTCTATCACAGTGCCATCCGTTTTGTCACCAAAGCCCCATATACTACCCACTATTGTGACCTGTACGCTCTTGTTGGCTGGCACTCACTACATATTTGTCGCCAAATCCACTGGCTCCAGGTCATCTATAAATCACTGCTAGGCAAATCCCTGTCTTATCTTAGCTCACTGGTCACCATAGCAACACCCACCCGTAGTCTGTGCTCCAGCAGGTATATCTCACTGGTCATCCCCAAAGCCAACACCTCCTTTGGCCGCCATTCCTTCCAGTTCTCTGCTGCCAATGACTGGAACGAACTGCAAAAATCTCTGAAGCTGGAGACTCTTATCTCCCTCACTAACTTTAAGTGTCAGTTGTCAGAGCACCTTACCGATCACTGCACCTGTACACAGCCATTCTGAAATTAGCCCACCCAACTACCTCATCCCCATATTGTTATTTATTTTGCTAATTTGCACCCCAGTATCTCTATTTGCACATCATCTTTTGCACATCTATCATTCCAGTGTTCATTACGAAATTGTAACTATTTTGCACTATGGCCTATTTATTGCCTTACCTCCATAACTTACTACATTCGCACACATTGTATATATATTTTCTGTTGTATTTTTGACTTTATGTTTTGTTTATCCCAAATGTAATTCTGTGTTGTTTTTTATCGCACTGCTTTGCTTTATCTTGGTCAGGTCGCAATTGTAAATGAGAACTTGTTCTCAACTGGCTTCTTACCTGTTTAAATAAAGGTGAAATAAAATAAAAATAAAATAAAAAACACAGTATTTTGGCTTGGATGGCCTCCCTGGATGGGAAGTGGGTCTTGCTCCTTGTGAAAGAGGTCCTTCAATGTAGGTTAACAGAACAAGCGGTCTGTTTTATCCTCATGCCTGCGTCTCGCTCTCTTCCCTGCATTTCGGTCCTCTCTCTCTCTTCTGCAGGCTTTCTCTTCCTTCCCCTCCCCTTACCTCCCCTCCCTCCCACACACTCTCTTGTATGACATTCTTGCTTTTCTCCCTGCTGTTTCTCTTGTCCAATACTTTCTACACAGTGTTAGTCCACCACTCTAGTCGTCATCTATAATTCACACACAGGAGGCAGAAGACCGAGCTCTGCTAGCCTATAGGCCCCCAACCCCCAAGCTAGTCCCTACTCCCTAGACACCAGCTAGCCCCCAGCCCTTTAGGTAGCACCCTAAAACCTATCTTAGGCTCTAGTCTAGCCCCCAGGCTCTTAGGGTTAGATCTGTGAGGACTGGGTCAGTCGGTTTCCACCTAGCCTCTCGGAGGGGAAGGTGGAGCTACTCTCACATTACTTAGTGTGAAATATCTCTTGACCTTTTTAACATGTAGACATAGACAGAGTGTACAAAACATTAGGAACACCTTCCTAATATTGAGTTTCACCCCCTTTTGCCCTCAGAACAGCCGCAATTCATCAGGGCATGTACTCTACAAGGTGTCAAAAGTGTTCCACAGGGATGCTGGCCCATGTTGACTCCAGTGCTTCGCACAGTTGTGTCAAGTTGGCTGGATATCCTTTGGGGGGTGGACCATTCTTGATACTCACTGGAAACTGTTGAGTGTGAAACCCAGCAATGTTGCAGTTCTTAATAATAATAATAATAATAATAAGCCATTTAGCAGACGCTTTTATCCAAAGCGACTTACAGTCATGCGTGCATACATTTTTGTGTATGGGTGGTCCCGGGGATCGAACCCACTACCTTGGCGTTACAAGCGCCGTGCTCTACCAGCTGAGCTACAGAGGATCTGTAGGCGCACTGATTTGACACATTCAAATCAGTGCGCCTGGCACCTACTACTATAGCCCGTTCAAAGGCACTTCAATATTTTGTCTTGCCCATTCACCCTCTGTTTGGCACACATACAGAATCCATATCTCAAGGCTTCAATAAAAAATATTTCTTTAACCTGTCTCCTCCCCTCCATCTACACTGATTTTGAAGGGGATTTAACAAGTGACATCAATAAGAGATCATAGCTTTCACCTGGTCAGTCTATGTCATGGAAAGAGCACTCGTCATGTTTTGTACACAGTGTATATACCCAAGACTGTTAAGCTTGTCAAATCTCAGTTTTCCTGATTTGGATCTAACCCATGCTTGTGTGTTTTTGTTTTAATGAATGCCTCTACTAACCATGGATTGGATTGGCTGTGGCTGGACTTGCCTCTACGATCACCTGCCTGGCTTCTTTGGTGTGGTTTTTCCCCCATGCTGTGATGACCTTTAACCCGGAAGGCATTGGTAAACTGTCAACTGCGGATGGTAAAGCGTTTGCAGATCCCGAGGTGCTGCGGAGGCTGACGTCGTCAGTGAGCTGTGCCCTGGACGAGGCGGCTGCCGCCCTGACGCGCATGAGAGCAGAGAACACACTCAACGCTGGCCAGGCCGACAAGTATGTATCTACCCCAGTCTGTACGTCAATATATATCAATACATTTACATTTTAGTCATTTAGCAGACATGAGAAGAGAACATATTCAACGCTGGGCAGGCTGACAAGTATGTGAGACCAACTGAATATAGCAATCAATATCTGAATGTCAGTCAATGTATTACCTCCGTGATCAAAATGTCACTCGATCAAACAGTTTAGTCAAGCATCATATGTCTGGTTGTTTCTCTGTCACTGTAATAGCAGAAGTGTGATCATGAGCTGTGTGTGTGTGTGTGGGCATTAGTTGTGTGTGTGTGTGTGTGTGTTGGTATTCGTTGTGTGTTAATGCATGTATGTAAGGGACCTGTGTGTTCTCCTGTCACAGTGGCAGTAATTGTAGCAGTCTGGTTATTTTCAGCCGTAGTCTAGCGGAGGCGTGTTCGGACGGAGACGTGAACGCTGTGAGGAAGCTACTAGACGAGGGGAGGAGCGTCAACGAACACACTGAGGAGGGAGAGAGTCTGCTCTGCCTAGCCTGCTCTGCTGGATACTATGAACTCGCACAGGTGTGTGTGAGAGAGAGCAGTGCGTGTCTGTACGCGAGTGTGTAATCGTTCTTTTTCAAAAACATCTTAGTAACTTTCGTGAACTGTCTTCTCTTTTTGGGGTTATGTCAGAATGAGTTTCAGTCCCCCACAAACTATCTACAGCACATACAGTGAGGGGGAAAAAAGTATTTGATCCCCTGCTGCTTTTGTACGTTTGCCCACTGACAAAGACATGATCAGTCTATAATTTTTATGGTAGGTTTATTTGAACAGTGAGAGACAGAATAACAACAAAAAAATCCAGAAAAACGCATGTCAAAAATGTTATAAATTGATTTGCATTTTAATGAGGGAAATAAGTATTTGACCCCCTCTCAATCAGAAAGATTTCTGGCTCCCAGGTGTCTTTTATACAGGTAACGAGCTGAGATTAGGAGCACACTCTTAAAGGGAGTGCTCCTAATCTCAGTTTGTTACCTGTATAAAAGACACCTGTCCACAGAAGCAATCAATCAATCAGATTCCAAACTCTCCACCATGGCCAAGACCAAAGAGCTCTCCAAGGATGTCAGGGACAAGATTGTAGACCTACACAAGGCTGGAATGGGCTACAAGACCATCGCCAAGCAGCTTGGTGAGAAGGTGTGATTATTCGCAAATGGAAGAAACACAAAAGAACTGTCAGTCTCCCTTGGCCTGGGGCTCCATGCAAGATCTCACCTCGTGGAGTTGCAATGATCATGAGAACGGTGAGGAATCAGCCCAGAACTACACGGGAGGATCTTGTCAATGATCTCAAGGCAGCTGGGACCATAGTCTCCAAGAAAACAATTGGTAACACACTACGCCGTGAAGGACTGAAATCCTGCAGCGCCCGCAAGGTCCCCCTGCTCAAGAAAGCACATATACAGGCCCGTCTGATGTTGCCAATGAACATCTGAATGATTCAGAGGAGAATTGGTGAAAGTGTTGTGGTCAGATGAGACCAAAATCGAGCTCTTTGGCATCAACTCAACTCGCCGTGTTTGGAGGAGGAGGAATGCTGCCTATGACCCCAAGAACGTCCCCACCGTCAAACATGGAGGTGGAAACATTATGCTTTGGGGGTGTTTTTCTGCTAAGGGGACAGGACAACTTCACCGCATCAAAGGGAAGATGGACGGGGCCATGTACCGTCAAATCTTGGGTGAGAACCTCCTTCCCTCAGCCAGGGCATTGAAAATAGTTTGTGGATGGGTATTCCAGCAAGACAATGACACAAAACACACGGCCAAGTCAACAAAGGAGTGGCTCAAGAAGAAGCACATTAAGGTCCTGGAGTGGCCTAGCCAGTCTCCAGACCTAAATCCCATAGAAAATCTGTGGAGGGAGCTGAAGGTTCGAGTTGCCAAACGTCAGCCTTGAAACCTTAATGTCTTGCAGAAGATCTGCAAAGAGGAGTGGAACAAAATCCCTCCTGAGATGTGTGCAAACCTGGTGGCCAACTACAAGAAATGTCTGACCTCTGTGATTGCCAACAAGGGTTTTGCCACCAAGTAGTAAGTCATGTTTTGCAGACATATAACATTTTTGACATGTGTTTTTCTGGATTTTTTTGTTGTTATTCTGTGTCTCACTGTTCAAATAAACCTACCATTAAAATTATAGACTGATCATGTCTTTGTCAGTGGGCAAACGTACAAAATCAGCAGGGGATCAAATACTTTTTTCCCTCACTGTACATTTACATTGTATGACCTCTGACCCCTGCTGTGATTGGTTGTTAGGTATTGCTGGCCATGCATGCCAACGTGGAGGACCGGGGGATTAAAGGTGACATCACTCCCCTGATGGCGGCGGCCAGCGGAGGTTACGTCGACATCGTCAAGCTGCTCCTGGTCCACGGGGCTGATGCCAACGCACAGTCCTCCACTGGTACGAATATATACACACACACACATATTTATCGTTTTCCATCTGCCTTGCTCAATGTGCGTGTGGTTATTTCTATTCATTATTTGTTGGTCCAAACCAAAATGTTTAGATTTCTGCTTGGACAATATGCCCCATCTAGCCCCATCTAGCTCCATTGAGTTGCATTAAATCTAAACCTCACTAACACAAGTATTGTATCTAGTCCTCCTCTCCCTCCGCCTCTCTCTCTCTCTCTCTCTCTCTCTCCCTGTAGGTAACACAGCCCTGACGTATGGGCTCTCTCCCTGTAGGTAACACAGCCCTGACGTATGGGCTCTCTCCCTGTAGGTAACACAGCCCTGACGTATGGGCTCTCTCCCTGTAGGTAACACAGCCCTGACGTATGGGCTCTCTCCCTGTAGGTGACACAGCCCTGACATATGGGCTCTCTCCCTGTAGGTAACACAGCCCTGACGTATGGGCTCTCTCCCTGTAGGTAACACAGCCCTGACGTATGGGCTCTCTCCCTGTAGGTAACACAGCCCTGACGTATGGGCTCTCTCCCTGTAGGTAACACAGCCCTGACGTATGGTCTCTCTCCCTGTAGGTAACACAGCCCTGACGTATGGGCTCTCTCCCTGTAGGTAACACAGCCCTGACGTATGGGCTCTCTCCCTGTAGGTAACACAGCCCTGACGTATGGTCTCTCTCCCTGTAGGTAACACAGCCCTGACGTATGGTCTCTCTCCCTGTAGGTAACACAGCCCTGACGTATGGGCTCTCCCCCTGTAGGTAACACAGCCCTGACGTATGGGCTCTCTCCCTGTAGGTAACACAGCCCTGACGTATGGGCTCTCTCCCTGTAGGTAACACAGCCCTGACGTATGGGCTCTCTCCCTGTAGGTAACACAGCCCTGACGTATGGGCTCTCTCCCTGTAGGTAACACAGCCCTGACGTATGGGCTCTCTCCCTGTAGGTAACACAGCCCTGACGTATGGGCTCTCTCCCTGTAGGTAACACAGCCCTGACGTATGGGCTCTCTCCCTGTAGGTAACACAGCCCTGACGTATGGGCTCTCTCCCTGTAGGTAACACAGCCCTGACGTATGGGCTCTCTCCCTGTAGGTAACACAGCCCTGACGTATGGGCTCTCTCCCTGTAGGTAACACAGCCCTGACGTATGGGCTCTCCCTGTAGGTGACACAGCCCTGACGTATGGGCTCTCCCTGTAGGTGACACAGCCCTGACGTATGGGCTCTCTCCCTGTAGGTAACACAGCCCTGACGTATGGGCTCTCTCCCTGTAGGTAACACAGCCCTGACGTATGGGCTCTCTCCCTGTAGGTAACACAGCCCTGACGTATGGGCTCTCTCCCTGTAGGTAACACAGCCCTGACGTATGGGCTCTCTCCCTGTAGGTAACACAGCCCTGACGTATGGGCTCTCCCTGTAGGTAACACAGCCCTGACGTATGGGCTCTCTCCCTGTAGGTAACACAGCCCTGACGTATGGGCTCTCTCCCTGTAGGTAACACAGCCCTGACGTATGGGCTCTCTCCCTGTAGGTAACACAGCCCTGACGTATGGTCTCTCTCCCTGTAGGTAACACAGCCCTGACGTATGGTCTCTCTCCCTGTAGGTAACACAGCCCTGACATATGGGCTCTCCCCCTGTAGGTAACACAGCCCTGACGTATGGGCTCTCTCCCTGTAGGTAACACAGCCCTGACGTATGGGCTCTCTCCCTGTAGGTAACACAGCCCTGACGTATGGGCTCTCTCCCTGTAGGTAACACAGCCCTGACGTATGGGCTCTCTCCCTGTAGGTAACACAGCCCTGACGTATGGGCTCTCTCCCTGTAGGTAACACAGCCCTGACGTATGGGCTCTCTCCCTGTAGGTAACACAGCCCTGACGTATGGGCTCTCTCCCTGTAGGTAACACAGCCCTGACGTATGCGTGTGCCGGGGGGTTCGTAGATGTGGTGAAGGTTCTCTTGAAGGAGGGGGCCAACATCGAGGACCACAACGAGAACGGCCACACACCCCTAATGGAGGGGGCGAGCGCGGGCCACGTGGATGTGGCCAGGGTTCTGCTGGAGTACGGCGCCGGGATCAACACACACTCCAACGAGTTCAAGGAGAGCGCCCTCACACTGGCCTGCTACAAAGGTGACACTCTACTTCACTTCTCATCTATGTATTCACTGTTCCCTTTGATTGTTTTAGATGTTTTCTTGTGGTGCTCGCTCACATAGCCCCCCAAAAGCAGCATTCATAGACAACAAAATAACAATTTAAATTAATGATCTTTCTGTTACTCTCTCCTTCCCCTGCTCTCTCCCTCTCCCTCCAGGTCATCTGGACATGGTGAGGTTTCTGCTGGAAGCTGGGGCAGATCAGGAGCATAAGACTGATGAGATGCACACAGCACTGATGGAAGCCTGCATGGTGAGCATATGACCCAACACACCAGCCCCTCTCTTCTCTCTCCCTGCGTGGTGAGCATATGACCCAACACACAGCCCCTCTCTTCTCTCTCCCTGCATGGTGAGCATATGACCCAACACACAGCCCCTCTCTTCTCTCTCCCTGCGTGGTGAGCATATGACCCAACACACAGCCCCTCTCTTCTCTCTCCCTGCGTGGTGAGCATATGACCCAACACACAGCCCCTCTCTTCTCTCTCCCTGCGTGGTGAGCATATGACCCAACACACAGCCCCTCTCTTCTCTCTCCCTGCGTGGTGAGCATATGACCCAACACACAGCCCCTCTCTTCTCTCTCCCTGCATGGTGAGCATATGACCCAACACACAGCCCCTCTCTTCTCTCTCCCTGCATGGTGAGCATATGACCCAACACACAGCCCCTCTCTTCTCTCTCCCTGCGTGGTGAGCATATGACCCAACACACAGCCCCTCTCTTCTCTCTCCCTGCGTGGTGAGCATATGACCCAACACACAGCCCCTCTCTTCTCTCTCCCTGCATGGTGAGCATATGACCCAACACACAGCCCCTCTCTTCTCTCTCCCTGCATGGTGAGCATATGACCCAACACACAGCCCCTCTCTTCTCTCTCCCTGCGTGGTGAGCATATGACCCAACCACACAGCCCCTCTCTTCTCTCTCCCTGCGTGGTGAGCATATGACCCAACACACAGCCCCTCTCTTCTCTCTCCCTGCATGGTGAGCATATGACCCAAACCACACGCCCCTCTCTTCTCTCTCCCTGCGTGGTGAGCATATGACCCAACACACAGCCCTCTCTTCTCTATCCCTGCGTTGGTGAGATATGGACCCAACCCACAGCCCCTCTCTTCTCTTCCCTGCGTGGTGAGCATATGACCCAACACACAGCCCCTCTCTTCTCTCTCCCTGCATGGTGAGCATATGACCCAACACACAGCCCCTCTCTTCTCTCTTCCTGCGTGTGTGTGTGTGTGTGTGTGTAACCCACTCAGGTGCTTATGTTGTCCCTGTGTGTGTGTGTGTCTCCTGTCCCAGGATGGGCATGTGGAGGTGGCACGGCTGCTGCTGGACAGCGGGGCGCAGGTCAACATGCCCGCTGACTCCTTCGAGTCGCCCCTCACCCTGGCAGCCTGCGGCGGGCACGTAGAACTAGCAGCTCTGCTCATAGAGAGAGGAGCCAACCTAGAGGAGGTGAGTAGCAACACAATAACAGTGGATGTTAGAATGTGTGTGTGTAGGTGAATGATGAGGGTTACAGCCCTCTGATGGGTTAGGGTCACACAGAGAGAGAGACGGTGACTCACCCCTACCAACCCGCTCTGAGGGCCCTCTGTTGTCACACTGAGGGTGACTAGTGGCGAGGGGATCAATAAACCCATCAACTTCAGGATGCTCCTGACTTGAATGATGCAATTCATATTCATATAAAAGAAGCAGGAAATTCAAATGAACAAATCCCCCCCCTGCCGTTTTACAACCCTCCGTAACAGTTAAACATTTAATTTGGGAGGTATTTTTATATTTTACATGTGTCAAGTCTCGACATCAGACAAACCAATGCACGTGTCATATAATTAGGCACGCCTCTCCATTCTTTTGTGAAATTGCACAAAAACAACACAGTGCCTTATGGGATTCCACTTCGCTATGAAGCCGGCAGCGTTGCAGGCTCAGTCTAAGTGCCTACTGGAGGGGCTAATTAGCCTCTACGCCCTTGATCATTTTCACTCCTTCTGCTTTGGGACACTTGTGCAAATGGCGGAGGCGCACGTGAATGTGCAAATAGCGGGGCGAGGGGAAGGGGGTGATTTGGGATTCAGCCACTGAGTCCTGTAACTGGATGTTTTAATGTGTCTAGGTGAATGATGAAGGCTATACCCCTCTGATGGAGGCAGCCAGAGAAGGCCATGAAGAGATGGTGGCTCTGCTGCTGGCTCAGGGTAATGAACTGGGAGACAACTGGCAACTGGGATCATATGGAACTAGAACATAAATGGATACCTGCACACTGTTCAATGCTCTTGCATATACTATGTTATTGTGTGGAAATAACTGCTTTGTCAGGCCTGTTGGAGAGGGTCTCACTCCTAAAATAGACACTAACCTCTCTCCATCTCTCTCTCTCTCACTCTATTTATCGCTCTCTCTCCTCCCTCCCCCTCCAGGTGCCAACATCAACGCCCAGACGGAGGAAACCCAGGAGACAGCCCTGACCCTGGCCTGCTGTGGAGGGTTCCTGGAGGTGGCTGACTTCCTCATCAAGGCCGGAGCCGACATCGAACTGGGCTGCTCCACACCTCTCATGGAGGCTGCTCAGGAGGGACACCTGGAGCTGGTCAAATACCTCCTGGCTGCAGGTACAGACAGACACAGACAGACATACGGACACACAGACAGACATACGGACACACATACGGACACACAGACAGACATACGGACACACAGACAGACATACGGACACACAGACAGACATACGGACACAGAGACAGACGGACGGACACACAGACGGAGGGACGGACGGACACACAGACGGAGGGACGGACGGACACACAGACGGAGAGAGACGGACGGACTGACACGGAGAGAGAGACGGACGGACTGACACGGAGAGAGAGACGGACGGACCGACACGGAGAGAGAGACGGACGGACGGACCGACACGGAGAGAGAGACGGACGGACGGACCGACACGGAGAGAGAGACGGACGGACTGACACGGAGAGAGAGACGGACGGACTGACACGGAGAGAGAGACGGACGGACTGACACGGAGAGAGACGGACGGACTGACACGGAGAGAGACGGACGGACTGACACGGAGAGAGAGACGGACGGACTGACACGGAGAGAGAGACGGACGGACTGACACGGAGAGAGAGACGGACGGACTGACACGGAGAGAGAGACGGACGGACTGACACGGAGAGAGAGACGGACGGACTGACACGGAGAGAGACGGACGGACTGACACGGAGAGAGAGACGGACGGACTGACACGGAGAGAGAGACGGACGGACTGACACGGAGAGAGAGAGACGGACGGACTGACACGGAGAGAGAGGACGGACGGACTGACACGGAGAGAGAGACGGACGGACTGACACGGAGAGAGAGACGGACGGACTGACACGGAGAGAGAGACGGACGGACTGACACGGAGAGAGAGACGGACGGACTGACACGGAGAGAGAGACGGACGGACTGACACGGAGAGAGAGACGGACGGACGGACTGACACGGAGAGAGAGACGGACGGACGGACGGACTGACACGGAGAGAGAGACGGACGGACTGACACGGAGAGAGAGACGGACGGACTGACACGGAGAGGGACGGACGGACCGACACGGAGAGAGAGACGGACGGACTGACACGGAGAGGGACGGACGGACTGACACACGGACACACTGGGGCGGACGGACGGACACACTGGGGCGGACGGACGGACACACTGGGGCGGACGGACACAGAGGCGGACGGACGGACGGACACAGAGGCGGGCGGACGGGGAGAGAGGGAGAGAGGGAAACCTCCTGGTTGCTTATTGAGAATTCTTTGTTTGATCGTTAGTATTTTTGTAGGGAACTTGTGAGACTCCAGGCCTTAGCCTAGTAACTAGATGGCTGTTGTAAGTAAAGTTGACAACTTCTACCTTTTTAAACAGGGCTTGTTAGTTTTTCTTTTGGGTCAGCTCTGAACTCTGACCTCTCTCTATAGGGGCAAACGTGCACGCTACCACGGCGACAGGAGACACAGCGCTGACGTACGCGTGTGAGAATGGACACACCGACGTGGCCGACGTTCTGCTGCAGACAGGAGCAGATCTGGTACACACACTCCTGTTATCCCGTTCTGTCACCATCTCCTGTTATCCCGTTCTGTCACCATCTCCCTCCATTTGTTTTATCTTCCCCTCTCTTCTATCCTTTGCTCTCTTTCCATTCTACTCTTTCTGTGTGTTTGTGGTTTTTGTTTTACTGTCATGTGGGTACCAGACGTCCTCACAAGGATAGTAAAACAAGGAACATTCGGACAAGTGGGGACATTTTGCTGGTCACCACAAGGAAAAATACTATTTTAGGCTTAGGGGTTAGGTTTAGGGTTAGAATTAAGGTTGGGGTTAGGAGTTACGGTTAGGTTTAGGGGTTACGGAAAATAGGATTTTGGATGGGAATCCGTTATTTGGTCCTCACAAGGATAGCAATACAAAACTGTGTGTGTGGACCCATGTCCTCTCCTAAAATCCACTTCCTGTATGTCTGTCCTCCAGGAGCATGAGTCTGAGGGGGGGAGGACTCCCCTGATGAAGGCAGCCAGAGCAGGACACCTCTGCACCGTGCAGTTCCTCATCAGCAAGGGTGGGTTAGGTTAGACTGCATCTTTTATTTTTTAAACCTCTACAATGTCCTACTATAGCAGACACTGGAAGGAGAAGTTGAAGTGACAGTGAGTGTTTTGCGTACGGTCTTTGGTGGCATTTCTTGTGGGAGTGAAAAAAATGCTTGGAATTTAAAATAACGTTATTAACCGGTTCCCATGCTTTTAGAATAATGGTTCTGTTCCTCGAAATATGTTATTTTCCGGTTTTCTGTTCGGTTTCCTGAACTGGTTACAACCCGGTTCTAGTATTCTTTGGGTTAGACTGCATTAAAAACATAAAAACAAGTCCCTCCTTTGGGATCTACATTCATTTTGAACTATTATTAGTATGAAACAATTGATTCTTAGAAGTGAATTTAAAGCGGTATATGAATGTTTCTTTCCTGTGTTTTGTGTCCAGGTGCTAACGTGAACCGAGCGACAGCTAACAAGGACCACACGGTGGTGTCTCTGGCCTGCGCTGGAGGGCACCTAGCTGTGGTAGAACTGCTGCTAGCGCATGGAGCTGACCCCACACACAGACTGAAGGTACAACACTCACACACCGTCATCAAACACCAGCATCAACCTCATAAGGAAGCTGTTTAACTCAGCCATAGTAACAAGAGGATCAGAATAGAAAAAGTGAACTTTGATGAAGCCACATGCAGACTTACTCTCACTTCCTATTTCTCCTCCAATAGGACGGCTCGACGATGCTGATTGAAGCTGCTAAGGGCGGCCACACCAACGTGGTGTCCTACCTGCTAGACTTCCCTAACAACATCCTGTCTGTCCCCGCGCCTGACCTCTGCCAACTCACACCCCCCTCACAAGACCCCTCTCAGGTAAAACTCACACCCCCCTCATAAGACCCCTCTCAGGTAAGACCCCTCTCAGATAAAAAATATTTTATGAGATTGTTTTGCACTATTGAAACAGGAAATGGCCGGCATGGAAGTTATGTTTAACTGTTGTCAAAGTGTTTGATGTTTTACAACCACTCTTCTATTCCCAGGTTCCTCGTGTCCCATTCCAGGCCCTGGCCATGGTGGTGCCCCCCCAGGAGCCAGACAGAGCCCCCTCCAACATCACCACGCCCCCGCCACCCGTCACCAGCAAAGGTAAAACAGAGAGCCTTGGCTTGGCCTGTTATAAACGAAGAGCCTTGCCTTGGCTTGGCCTGTTCTATACTGAACACAAATATAAACGCAACAATTTCAAAGATTTTACTGAGTTACAGTTCATATAAGGAAATCAGTCAATTGAAATAAATTCATTAGGCCCTAATCTATGGATTTCACATGACTGAGAATACATATGCATCTCTTGGTCACAGATACCTAAAAAAAAAGAAGCTAGGGGCATGGATCAGAAAACCAGTCAGTATCTGGTGTGATCACCATTTTGCGTTATGCAGATCTCCTTTGCGTAGAGTTGATCAGGTGTGGAATGTTTTCCCACTCCTCTTCAATGGCTGTGTGAAGTTGCTGGATGTTGGCGGGAACTGGAACATGCTGTCGATCCAGAGCATCCCAAACATGCTCAATGTGTGACATGTCTGGTGAGTATGCAGGTCATTGAAGAACTGGGACATTTTCAGCTTCCAGGAATTGGGTACAGATCCTTGTGTGACGGGCCCGTGCATTATCATGCTGAAACATGAGGTGATGGCGGCGCATGAATGGCACGACAATGGGCCTCAGAATCTCTGTCACGGTATCTCTGTGCATTCAAATTGCCATCGATAAAATGCAATTTTGTTCTTTGTCTGTAGCTTATGCCTGCCCATACCATAACCCCACCACCACCATGGGGCACTCTGTTCACGACAAGGACATTAGCAAACTGCTCGCCCACAGGACGCCATACACGTGGTCTGCTGTTATGAGGCCGGTTGGACGTACTGCCAAATTCTCTAAAATGATGCTGGAGGTGGCTTATGGTAGAGAAATTGACATTAAATTCTCTGGCAACAGCTCTGGTGGACATTCCTGCAGTCAGCATGACAATTACACACCCCCTCAACTTGAGACATCTGTGGCATTGTGTTGGGTGACAAAACTGCACATTTTAGAGTGGCCTTTTATTGTCCCCAGCACAAGGTGCACCTGTGTAATGATCATGGTGTTTAATCAGCTTCTTGATATGACACACCTGTCAGGTGGATGGATTATATTGGCAAAGGAGAAATGCTCACTAACAGGGATGTAAACACATTTGTGCACAAAATATGAGAGAAATAAGCTTTTTGTGCGTATAGAACATTTCTGGGATTTTGTATTTCAGCTCATGAAACATGTTGCATTTATATTTTTGTTCAGTATACATATCAAAAGTGTCTAAAGATGACGTGACTTCAACTGATGATGAATTGGCTTTATTGTAGTGTGACCTAATCCTGTTATCCCTCATTCCCTCCATCCCTTTCTCCCTCCTCTCCAGGTTGGTCTAAGCAGAGACAGGCTGCCCTCCCTCCCAGCCCCTCCAGTCCAGGAGGGGTGCGTCCCGGCCCGGGTCCCGGGGATGCAGAGGCCTTGCCCTCCTTCCACCTGTGCCAGCCCTTGGAGTGTATCGTGGAGGAGACGGAGGGGAAGCTTAATGAGCTGGGCCAGAGGATCTCAGCCATAGAGAAGGCCCAGCTGCAGTCTCTGGAACTTATCCAGGGAGAGCCGCTCACCAAAGACAAGATCGAAGAGTTGAAGAAGAGCCGGGAGGAGCAGGTGAGAGCAGACAGACAGATGGATCATTTATAGGTATAGGACCACAGAGATCCTATTGAATTATTAGAGGGGATGAGGTCGTAGACCAGTGTTTCCCAAGCGCTGTCCTGAGGGCCCCAAGGGGTGCACGTTTTGGTTTTTGCCTTAGCACTACACAGCTTATTCAAATGATCAAAGCTTGATGATGAGTTGGTTATTTGAATCGGCTGTGAATTGCTAGGGCAAAAACCAAAATGTGCACCCCTTGGGGTCCCCAGGGCAGAGTTTGGGAAATGCTGTCATAGACCCTCAATACAGGTAGGTAAAGGGCACACAATGGAAAATGTTGTAACTTTTTGCAATGCAAAGCGAAAATGTGTGTTTCTTATTCCAGGCAGTCCAGGTAGTTCCATCTCCGTTTCATTTATTTATTTTGGTTGGTGCCTAATGAACACTACCCAGGTCTGAAGGGACCAGATGGGTCTAGGAAATATGTTGATAGATAGATGGCTCCACCCATCTAGTCTCTCAACCAATGGATGAGAGAGGTCTGATTTCTCTCCCCCGTGGCGTGCGTGTCTTCTAGGTCCAGAAGAAGAAGAAGATTCTGAAGGAGCTGCAGAAGGTGGAGCGCCAGCTGCAGTTGAAGACCCAGCAGCAGTTCACCAAAGAGTACATGGAGGCCAAGGGCTTGAAGGAGGAGCAGGAGGCAGGCCAGGACCCGGGGCCAGGGCCGGGGGTAGGGGCCAACACTACCATGCCTGGGGCCCTCACAGCACCACCGGGGGTTAACACGCACACACAGCCCGGGTCGGATACAGGGTCTGATGAGGAGGGGAACAGAGAGGAGGAGGAGGAAGAAGAGGAGGAGGAGGAGGAGGTTAGGAGTTGTTGGTGGTGTTCTGTTATTTCTGAGTAATCAAGAGTTTCTGCTTTTCTGACATTCTCCTCCCCTCATATCTAATAGAAACAGACCTATCATCCCCTCATATCTAATAGAAACAGACCTATCCATCCCCTCATATCTAATAGAAACAGACCTATCCATCCCCTCATATCTAATAGAAACAGACCTATCCATCCCTTCATATCTAATAGAAACAGACCTATCCATCCCCTCATATCTAATAGAAACAGACCTATCATCCCCTCATATCTAATAGAAACAGACCTATCCATCCCCTCATATCTAATAGAAACAGACCTATCCATCCCCTCATATCTAATAGAAACAGACCTATCCATCCCTTCATATCTAATAGAAACAGACCTATCCATCCCCTCATATCTAATAGAAACAGACCTATCCTTCCCCTCATATCTAATAGAAACAGACCTATCCATCCCCTCATATCTAATAGAAACAGACCTATCCATCCCCTCATATCTAATAGAAACAGACCTATCCATCCCCTCATATCTAATAGAAACAGACCTATCCATCCCCTCATATCTAATAGAAACAGACCTATCCATCCCCTCATATCTAATAGAAACAGACCTATCCATCCCCTAGCCCAAATCTTCATTTCTTCTGACTGTCTAAGTTGTCCTGATCACATTTCTGCTGTTTTTTGTGAAAACTGTTTCATACTTTTAGATGCTTTGTTAATTTGTTTTAAGTTTGCCTTGTTTCTATTCCAGGATGACGATGATGAGGAGGATGAAGATGATGATGACGAGGTGGAAGGAGAGGAGGAAGATTACACTAAGCTTCCCCAGGTGGACACCATCCTCTACAGGGATGGACAGCAGCCCCCTCTGCCGCCCTCGCCCTCCCCCCAGCCCCTGTCCTCCCCCCACTCACATCTCCACCCCCCTCCCCCCCTCCAGACAGCCTTCGTGCCCATCCAACCCCTACCCGAGTACAGCCCGTGCCCTGCCGACTACCCCTGCCCTGGCAGTACCAGCCCTGATCTGCAGAGGGTACTGGTGGGCCAGCAGATGCTGGGTCTGGGTCTGGGTCAGGGGTTAGGACCAGGGATGGTAGGGCAGCAGGCCCCAGACGGACTCATGGTGGCTACGCCCGCTCAGACACTTACAGACACACTGGATGACATCATGGCAGGTGAGTGTGTGTAGCGTAGCGTGGTCTTACAGCTGTTCTGCCTGCTGTGGGTGGGTGGGTGCATCTCAATAGTCTTAACTCCTTTCCTCCTTAGTATACTCCCCGTCTCTTTTCCTTCCATTCTGCCTGCTGTGGGTGGGTGGGTGCATCTCAATAGTCTTAACTCCTTTCCTCCTTAGTATACTCCCTGTCTCCTTTCCTTCAACTACACTGACTTGAAAGAACAGGACTGATGAACAAATTCCCCAAAGGAAAGGCCTGAAAAGTAACAGATGCTTACTTCTCTCTCCTTCTCCCTCCCCTGTTTCTCTCCTCCTCTCTCTGTTCCAGCAGCTGTGAGCAGCAGAGTACCCATGCTGAACACTACGACGTCCCCCACCCCCCTGTCTGACCCCCTGTCACAGACCCCCTCCAACATGGGCTCTCCCCCCTCCCCACTGCCCCTCTACCCCTCTGTGGACATCGACGCACACGTAAGTCACTGCTCACACACACACACTGTGGAGATCGATGCTCATGTACTGTAAAGCCCATGGTCACGCATACACACATTCAAGACTGAGAGACAAACCGATACACACAGTGTTGTTGTAAATGTGTGTCTCCCTTCAGACGGAGAGTAACCATGACACAGCGCTGACGCTGGCCTGTGCCGGAGGACACGAGGAGCTGGTGTCTGTTCTCATCGCACGAGGAGCCAACATCGAGCACCGCGACAAGAAGGGTAACAAACACACACACACATGAAGTTACTGTTCATTCTGAATGTTAGTTGGGCCGGTATATCCGTCAGACATGTTTTATTTTCTGATTAATCAGGAATATATTTTTCTTACATCCAAGATAGGATTTATACAGTGTTCAAAGTGTTTCACATTGTATTGGGTGAATTTGGATATTTGGTTCTGACCCCCTCTCCTCGTCCTTTCCCCAGGTTTCACCCCTCTGATCCTGGCTGCGACAGCGGGCCACGTAGGTGTGGTGGAGGTCCTTCTGGATAAAGGAGGTGACATAGAGGCCCAGTCAGAGAGAACCAAAGACACGCCCCTCTCCCTGGCCTGCTCAGGGGGACGACAGGAGGTACACACCATAGAGATCTGATTTAAATGTGTTTAATTATTTCTAATATGGAATTCTATGGTACACTCTCACTTCCCTTCTATGAATCACCACACTGAAACGACTCACTGAATCAACTCGCCTTTCACTGAAATAGCATATTGAAAACATAATAAAGACTATGTCCCAGTACTTACAGATAACTGTCCTAGGTGGTGGAGTTGTTGCTGTTGCGAGGAGCCAATAAAGAGCATCGTAACGTGTCAGACTACACCCCTTTGAGCCTGGCGGCGTCCGGAGGCTATGTCAACATCATCAAGATCCTCCTCAACGCCGGCTCAGAGATCAACTCAAGGTACTGGGCGAGACAGGGCAGGGCGAGACGGTGCAGTGCAGGGCAGGGCGAGACGGTGCAGGTCAGGGCAGGGCGAGACGGTGCAGTGCAGGGCAGGGCGAGACGGTGCAGTGCAGGGCAGGGCGAGACGGTGCAGTGCAGGGCAGGGCGAGACGGTGCAGGTCAGGGCAGGGCGAGACGGTGCAGTGCAGGGCAGGGCGAGACGGTGCAGTGCAGGGCAGGGCGAGACGGTGCAGTGCAGGGCAGGGCGAGACGGTGCAGTGCAGGGCAGGGCGAGACGGTGCAGTGCAGGGCAGGGCGAGACGGTGCAGTGCAGGGCAGGGCGAGACGGTGCAGTGCAGGGCAGGGCGAGACGGTGCAGTGCAGGGCAGGGCGAGACGGTGCAGTGCAGGGCAGGGGCGAGACGGTGCAGTGCAGGGCAGGGCGAGACGGTGCAGTGCAGGGCAGGGCGAGACGGTGCAGTGCAGGGCAGGGCGAGACGGTGCAGTGCAGGGCAGGGCGAGACGGTGCAGTGCAGGGCAGGGCGAGACGGTGCAGTGCAGGCAGGGCGAGACGGTGCAGTGCAGGGCAGGGCGAGACGGTGCAGTGCAGGGCAGGGTGAGACGGTGCAGGGCAGGGCGAGACGGTGCAGGGCGAGGCAGTGCAGTGTAGGGCGAGGCGGTGCGGTACAGGGCGAGACGGTGCAGTGTAGGGCAGGGCGAGACGGTGCGGTGCAGGGCGAGACGGTGCGGTGCAGGGCGAGACGGTGCAGGGCAGGGCGAGACGGTGCAGTGCAGGGCAGGGCGAGAAGGGGCAGGGCGAGACTACATCTTATTTTCTCTTCTCTTCTAACTGATAACACTACTTTTCCAGGTCTTGATCAAATACATTTATTTCTGAAATGTCTTACATCAGAAACTTGCACCGTGTTGTTTAAATGAATGATGACTGCGTCTTTGATAGTGAAAGCCCCTCACATCTCTCACTCATTGATAAAATCCACCCTCAATATCTCTCTCTCTCGCTTTCTTTCTCGCTTTCTCTCTTTCTTTCTTTCTTTCTTTCTTTCTTTCTTTCTTTCTTTCTTTCTTTCTCTCTAGGACGGGCAGTAAGCTGGGTATCTCTCCCCTGATGCTGGCAGCGATGAATGGTCACGTTCCAGCAGTCAAGCTACTGCTTGACATGGGCTCAGACATCAACGCTCAGATCGAGACTAACCGCAACACGGCGCTGACCCTGGCCTGCTTCCAGGGCCGCGCTGAGGTGGTCAGTCTGCTGCTAGACCGCAAGGCCAACGTAGAGCACAGAGCCAAGGTGAGGAGACCGGACCAGGACTGCACATGAACTGTTAGTCGTCCATATTATAGTAGTATATCAAGTCCAGAGCCAAGTTACATATAGGGTCTGGGGAATCCTAACTTTAGAATTGTCACTCTGTCTCAGTGCATGACTAAGTGATTTGAGTGAGGGATTGGCCCCATATTGTACATGTGATGTTGACCTCCCTCTCCCCTGGTAGACTGGTCTGACCCCTCTGATGGAGGCGGCGTCGGGGGGCTATGCTGAGGTCGGCCGGGTGTTGCTGGATAAAGGGGCTGATGTCAACGCCCCTCCTGTCCCCTCGTCCCGAGACACAGCCCTCACCATCGCTGCAGACAAGGGCCACTACAAGTTCTGTGAGCTGCTCATCAACAGGTGGGTGTTAAACCAACCAATCAAATAATCAATCATTCTGAATGAATCAGTCTTTGTCTGAGTGGGTATTCATTTTGAAGCCAGGAATTTCCCTAAAAGGTAATGTTTTAATTCTCTCCTTCATCTTCTTTTTATCCTGTTTATCTCTCTTCTCTTAACTCCTCCCTCTTTTATTCCGTTCTCCAGAGGGGCTCACATTGACGTGCGCAATAAGAAAGGGAACACCCCTTTGTGGCTGGCGGCCAACGGCGGCCATTTTGACGTGGTTCAGCTGCTGGTGCAGGCCGGGGCCGACGTAGACGCTGCAGACAACCGCAAGATCACACCGCTCATGGCTGCCTTCCGCAAGGTAGGTCGTGTGGCAGGATGACCCTTCCCCTCTGCAACACCTGGCCCCCTCACTACCTAGTTCTACTACTAGGTCCTACAGTCTACCGCCTCCCTTTACTGCCCCCAGCCTGAAACAATGTTGGTCTATTTTACAGTTATCTCATCTCGCTCTATCTCCTTGTGTCTGTTTCTCAGGGTCATGTAAAGGTGGTTCAGTACCTGGTAAAAGAGGTCAACCAGTTCCCCTCAGACATTGAGTGTATGAGATACATCGCCACCATCGCTGACAAGGTAACACTCCTCCACCAGGTTGGAATGATCACTCTTTGAGTTTGTATGTTGGCTGGATATCATTTACTGTCAAATGCGGCATATCTTGTATAAGTATGGCGGTGGGTTAGAAAGAGTTGTCTCCACCAACTCTCTCCATTCCTCCCTCGCTCTCAGGAGTTGTTGAAGAAGTGCCACCAGTGCATGGAGACCATCGTCAAAGCCAAAGACCAGCAGGCTGCTGAGGCCAACAAGAACGCCAGCATTCTCCTCAAGGAGCTCGACCTGGAGAAGTCCAGAGAGGAGAGCAAGAAGCAGGCCCTGGCAGCCAAGAGAGAGAAACGCAAGGAGAAACGCAAGAAGAAGAAGGAGGAACAGAAGAAAAAGCAGGAGGAGGAGGAGGAGGAGGAGGAGCAGAAGACTACCAAGGAGGAGGAGGAAGACGGTGAGATGCAGAAGGAGGACGAGTCGGCTGAGGGTAAATTATATATTGATTTCAATATCTAATCTTTTGTTCCCAAAAATGCTGATTATTAACGTTTGTTTGCTGTAGCTAGTTTAACAAAAGCAAAGATTGCAGTCAATCCTTGTCCATAGACTGTTTTCAAAGTAAGGAAACAAATGTCTAATATGTAATATTGTGGAACTATCCCTTCAACTCTCCGTCCGTCCCTCCCCCTCTCCAGAAGTGGACCCCCCCATCGACCCTCCCAGTGCGACCACCACCACCACCATCGGTATCCCCGCCACCTCGGTCTCCTTCAGCTGTGTGTTCGGCAAGAAGAGGGCCAGTGTTGCCACGACGACCAGCGCCAACCGCAAGAGCAAGAAGAACAAGATCAAGGACTCGTCCTCCAGCGAACCAATCATACTGCAGGACCCACAGGTATTAACCAATCATACTGCAGGACCCACAGGCGTTTGGTGTATTTAAAATATAGATTCACATTTTGATTTTTTTTGTGTTTTTTATTTATTTATTTATTATTTATACATACAGTGAGGGGAAAAAAGTATTTGATCCCCTGCTGATTTTGTACGTTTGCCCACTGACAAAGAAATGATCAGTCTATAATTTAATGGTAGGTTTATTTGAACAGTGAGAGACAGAATAACAACAACAAAATCCAGAAAAACGCATGTCAAAAATGTTATAAATGTATTTGCATTTTAATGAGGGAAATAAGTATTTGACCCCTCTGCAAAACATGACTTAGTACTTAGTGGCAAAATCCTTGTTGGCAATCACAGAGGTCAGACGTTTCTTGTAGTTGGCCACCAGGTTTGCACACATCTCAGGAGGGATTTTGTCCCATTCCTCTTTGCAGATCTTCTCCAAGTCATTAAGGTTTCAAGGCTGACGTTTGGCAACTCGAACCTTCAGCTACCTCCACAGATTTTCTATGGGATTAAGGTCTGGAGACTGGCTAGGCCACTCCAGGACCTTAATGTGCTTCTTCTTGAGCCACTCCTTTGTTGCCTTGGCTGCGTGTTTTGGGTCATTGTCATGCTGGAATACCCATCCACGACCCATTTTCAATGCCCTGGCTGAGGGAAGGAGGTTCTCACTCAAGATTTGACGGTACATGGCCCTGTCCATCGTCCCTTTGATGCGGTGAAGTTGTCCTGTCCCCTTAGCAGAAAAACACCCCCAAAGCATAATGTTTCCACCTCCATGTTTGACGGTGGGGATGGTGTTCTTGCGGTCATAGGCAGCATTCCTCCTCCAAACACGGCGAGTTGAGTTGATGCCAAAGAGCTCAATTTTGGTCTCATCTGACCACAACACTTTCACCCAGTTCTCCTCTGAATCATTCAGATGATCATTGGCAAACGTCAGACGGCCCTGTATATGTGTTTTCTTGAGCAGGGGGACCTTGCGGGCGCTGCAGGATTTCAGTCCTTCACAGCGTAGTGTGTTACCAATTGTTTTCTTGGTGACTATGGTCCCAACTGCCTTGAGATAATTAACAAGATCCTCCCGTGTAGTTCTGGGCTGATTCCTCACTGTTCTCATGATCATTACAACTCCACGAGGTGAGATCTTGCATGGAGACCCAGGCCGAGGGAGATTGACAGTTATTTTGTGTTTCTTCCATTTGCGAATAATCGCACCAACTGTTGTCACCTTCTCACCAAGCTGCTTGGCGATGGTCTTATAGCCCATTCCAGCCTTGCGTAGGTCTACAATCTTGTCCCTGACATCCTTGGAGAGCTCTTTGGTCTTGGCCATGGTGGAGAGTTTGGAATCTGATTGATTGATTGCTTCTGTGGACAGGTGTCTTTTATACAGGTAACAAACTGAGATTAGGAGCACTGCCTTTAAGAGTGTGCTCCTAATCTCAGCTCGTTACCTGTATAAAAGACACCTGGGAGCCAGAAATCTTTCTGATTGAGAGGGGGTCAAATACTTATTTCCCTCATTAAAATGCAAATCAATTTATAACATTTTTGACATGCGTTTTTCTGGATTTTGTTGTTGTTATTCTGTCTCTCACTGTTCAAATAAACCTACCATTAAAATTATAGACTGATCATGTCTTTGTCAGTGGGCAAACGTACAAAATCAGCAGGGGATCAAATACTTTTTCCCCTCACTGTATATGTATATATATGTGTGTGTGTTTGTATATGTGTATATATACACACACACACACACACACACACACACACACACACACACACACAGTGGGGAGAACAAGTATTTGATACACTGCCGATTTGCAGGTTTTCCTACTTACAAAGCATGTAGAGGTCTGTAATTTTTATCATAGATACACTTCAAATGTGAGAGACGGAATCTAAAACAAAAATCCAGAAAATCACATTGTATGATTTTTAAGTAATTAATTTGCATTTTATTGCATGACATAAGTATTTGATACATCAGGAAAGCAGAACTTAATATTTGGTACAGAAACCATTGTTTGCAATTACAGAGATCATACGTAGGTCTTGACCAGGTTTGCACACACTGCAGCAGGGATTTTGGCCCACTCCTCCATACAGACCTTCTCCAGATCCTTCAGGTTTCGGGGCTGTCGTAGGGCAATACGGACTTTCAGCTCCCTCCAAATATTTTCTATTGGGTTCAGGTCTGGAGACTGGCTAGGCCACTCCAGGACCTTGAGATGCTTCTTACGGAGCCACTCCTCAGTTGCCCTGGCTGTGTGTTTCGGGTCGTTGTCATGCTGGAAGACCCAGCCACGACCCATCTTCAATGCTCTTACTGAGGGAAGGAGGTTGTTGGCCAAGATCTCGCGATACATGGCCCCATCCATCCTCCCCTCAATACGGTGCAGTCGTCCTGTCCCCTTTGCAGAAAAGCATCCACAAAGAATGATGTTTCCACCTCCATGCTTCACGGTTGGGATGGTGTTCTTGGGGTTGTACTCATCCTTCTTCCTCCAAACACGGCGAGTGGAGTTTAGACCAAAAAGCTCTATTTTTGTCTCATTAGACCACATGACCTTCTCCCATTCCTCCTCTGGATCATCCAGATGGTCATTGGCAAACTTCAGACGGGCCTGGGCATGCGCTGGCTTGAGCAGGGGGACCTTGCGTGCGCTGCAGGATTTTAATCCATGACGGCGTAGTGTGTTACTAATGGTTTTCTTTGAGACTGTGGTCCCAGCTCTCTTCAGGTCATTGACCAGGTCCTGCCGTGTAGTTCTGGGCTGATCCCTCACCTTCCTCATGATCATTGATGCCCCACGAGGTGAGATCTTGCATGGAGCCCCAGACCGAGGGTGATTGACCGTCATCTTGAACTTCTTCCATTTTCTAATAATTGCGCCAACAGTTGTTGCCTTCTCACCAAGCTGCTTGCCTATTGTCCTGTAGCCCATCCCAGCCTTGTGCAGGTCTACAATTGTATCCCTGATGTCCTTACACAGCTCTCTGGTCTTGGCTATTGTGGAGAGGTTGGAGTCTGTTTGAGTGTGTGGACAGGTGTCTTTTATACAGGTAACGAGTTCAAACAGGCTTCTTAAAGAAAAACTAACAGGTCTGTGAGAGTCGGAATTCTTACTGGTTGGTAGGTGATCAAATATTTATGTCATGCAATAAAATGTAAATTAATTACTTAAAAATCCATACAATTTGATTTTCTGGATTTTTGTTTTACATTCCGTCTCTCACAGTTGAAGTGTACCTATGATAAAAATTACAGACCTCTACATCTGGTGTGGCCACCAGCTGCATTAACTACTGCAGTGCATCTCCTCCTCATGGACTGTACCAGATTTGCCAGTTCTTGCTGTGAGATGTTAAGCTACTCTTCCACCAAGGCACCTGCAAGTTCCCGGACATTTCTTGGGGGAATGGCCCTAACCCTCACCCTCCGATCCAGCAGGTCCTAGACGTGCTCAATGGGATTGAGATCCGGGCTCTTCGCTGGCTATGGCAGAACACTGACATTCCTGTCTTGCAGGAAATCATGCACAGAACGAGCAGGATGGCTAGTGGCATTGTCATGCTGGAGGGTCATGTCAGGATGAGCCTGCAGGAAGGGTACCACATGAGGGAGGAGGATGTCTTCCCTGTAACGCACAGCGTTGAAATTGCCTGCAATGACAACAAGCTCAGTCCGATGATGCTGTGACACACCGCCCCAGACCATGACGGACCCTCCACCTCCAAATCGATCCCGCTCCAGAGTACAGGCCTCGGTGTAACGCTCATTCCTTCGACGATAAACGCGAATCCGACCATCACCCCTGGTGAGACAAAACTGCGACTCGTCAGTGAAGAGCACCTTTTGCCAGTCCTGTCTGGTCCAGCGACGGTGGGTTTGTGCCCATAGGCGACGTTGTTGCCGGTGATGTCTGGTGAGGACCTGCCTTACAACAGGCCTACAAGCCCTCAGTCCAGCCTCTCTCAGCTTATTGCGGATAGTCTGAGCACCGATGGAGGGATTGTGCGTTACTGGTGTAACTCGGGCAGTTGTTGTTGCCATCCTGTACCTGTCCCGCAGGTGTGATGTTCGGATGTACCGATCCTGTGCAGGTGTTGTTACACGTAGTCTGCCACTGCGAGGACAATCAGCTGTCCGTCCTGTCTCCCTGTAGCGCTGTCTTAGGCGTCTCACAGTACGGACATTGCAATTTATTGCCATGACCACATCTGCAGTCCTCATGCCTCATTCACGCAGATAAGCAGGGACCCTGGGCATCTTTCTTTTGGTGTTTTTCAGAGTCAGTAGAAAGGCCTCTTTAGTGTCCTAAGTTTTCATAACTGTGACCTTAATTGCCTACCGTCTGTAAACTGTTTGTGTCTTAACGACCGTTCCACAGGTGCATGTTCATTTAATTGTTTATGGTTCATTGAACAAGGATGGGAAACAGTGTTTAAACCCTTTTTTACAATGAAGATCTGTGAAGTTATTTGTATTTTTATACGAATTGTCTTTGAAAATCTGGGTCCTGAAAAATTTGTTTCTTTTTTTGCTGAGTTATATTTATATAATCTATATATACACACAGTACCAGTCAAAAGTTTGGACACACCTACTCATTCCAGGGTTTTTCTTTATTTTTACTATTTTCTACATTGTATAATAATAGTGAAGACATCAAAACTATGAAATAACACATATGTAATCATGTAGTAACCAAAAAAGTGTTAAACAAATCAAAATATATTGTATATTTGAGATTCTTCAAATAGCCACCCTTTGCCTTGATGACAGCTTTGCACACTCTTGGCAGTTCCAAACTGCCTCTGGAAGCAACGTCAGCTCAAGAATGTTTCCATGGCCGAGCAGCCGCACACAAGCCTAAGATCACCATGCACAATGCCAAGCGTCGGCTGGAGTGGTATAAAGCTCGCCGCCATTGGACTCTAGAGCAGTGGAAACACGTTCTCTGGAGTGATGAATCACGCTTCACCATCTGGCAGTCCGACGGACGAATCTGGGTTTGGCGGATGCCAGGAGAACTCTACCTGCCCGACTGCATAGTGCCAACTGTAAAGTTTGGTGGGGGAGGAATAATGGTCTGGGGCTGTTTTTCATGGTTGGGGCCCCTTAGTTCCAGTAAAGGGGAATCTTAATGCTACAGCATACAATGACATTATGGACAATTCTGTGCTTCCAACTTTGTGGCAACAGTTTTGGGAAGTTCAGCATGACAATGCCACCATGCACAAAGCGAGGTCCATACAGAAATGGTTAGTCGAGATCGGTGTGGAAGAATTTGACTGGCCTGCACAGAGCCCTGACCTCAACCACATCGAACACCCTTAGGATGAATTGGAACGCCGACTGCAAGCCAGGACTAATCGCCCAACATCAGTGCCTGACCTCACTAATGCTCTTGTGGCTGAATGGAAGCAGGTTGGAACATTGCTGCGGGGACATCTAGTGGAAAACCTTCCCAGAAGAGTGGAGGCTGTTATCGCAGCAAAGGGGGGATCAGCTCCATATTAATGCCCATGATTTTGGAATGAGATGTTTGACGAGGAGGTGTCCACATACACTAGTCATGTAGTGTGTGTGTGACATGACTGCAAAATATAATGTAGCTAAATTCAAGGACAAGAGTGAGAAGCTATGATGGTTTTGTTTCTGGGAGGCTGTAAATACATACACATTTCCACTCAAAATTCTACCATCAAACAGTCTTATCAAGTCAGTCAAGGTGTCTAATCAGTGATAATTCCATCTCTGTCCAGCAGGTGGTGCTGGCACAGCACAAGACCAACAAGATCCATGGGGAGCCGCGGGGCAGGGCTGGGGGCACCAGCGACTCAGACCCCCTGGACAGCACCGACTGTGCCAGTGAGACTAGCAGCAGTGGGGGCAAGAGCCAGGAGCTCAACTTCCTCCCCGACATCTCCTCTTCTTCCTCCTCCTCCTCGTCCTCCTCCTCCTCTTCGTCCTCGGGCCCCTCCCACAGCCTGCTGCCAGGCCCGGAGAAGAGACACTGTCCTCAGCTACACCCAGGCAACCAAGTCACCGTCTCCATCTCCAAACCTACACAGAAGTGAGTGACCTGCAGCACTTTAGAGGAGAGATATTGGTTTGAGTTAGACTAAGAACTGTAGTTTTCCTAAAGGAGCTGGTCAAGCTCCATCACATTACACAGAACAGTGCATTTTTTATACAAATGCATAGTTAAAAACAGCAACCTTATTAATTGTGAATCGTAATTATAATAATTGTAAATATTTATCCCCTTCTCGCTCTCTTCCTCCCCCCCTTCTCTCTCTCTTCCTCCCCCACTTCTCTCTCTCTTCCTCCCCCCTTCTACACTCTCTTCTTCCTCCCAGGCGAGAGCGGGGCTTTCTCGAGGGGGTCCCCCCCTTCCTCTCCTTCCTCCCCCTTCTCCTCTCTCTCCCCCCTTCTCTCTCTCTTCCCCCCCTTCTCCCTCTCTCCAAAAAACAGTCTCTCTCTTTCCTCTTTCCCATGAGGAGAGCGCTAATCTCTTTCCTCAGAGAGTGTCTCTTCTAGAGGAGCTCCCCCTTCGGAGATCGCCTATTCCTCCCAGAAAAACCTTCGTGAACTCTCAGTTTCAACCATTCCTCTTCCATGCCCCTGTCTCTCTCTTCCTACCCCCCCTTCTTCTCTCCCCCCTTCTCTATCTCTCCCCCGCTCCCTTCTCCTAGCTCCAGACATGAGTGAGATGACCCCCAGCAGCTCTCTACCGTCTCAGTTTAAGACGATGTCTCTGCCCGTCACATCCCCCAACAGCAAGAGCCTCACCAGCCCCAAGAGGGGACAGAAGAGAGAGGAGGGCTGGAAGGAGGTGGTCAGACGGTGGGTAGACGCACGCACCATCCATAAAATCCATCTAGAAATGCTTCAAATTAATCTATAGGTCATTTTAGGCCGGTGGTTCCCAACCTTTTTTGTTTACTTTTAAGTCTTTCTCTGCCTGTAGTAACCCCCTCATGTGCATTTTCACAGTAGACCTATGGTCTCATGAGTATTCTAAAGTACCCCCTGTGGATAGGCCTAGTACCCCTGGTTGGGAACCACTGTTTTAGACAATAAGGAAAAGTGAGTTGTCAGCACTGTTGCTCCCCATTGATCTTGTTTTTTGGCCCGGTTCTAAACTCCATATGAACCTCTCTCTCTCTCTCCGGGCTGCAGGTCTAAGAAGCTGTCGGTGCCGGCCTCGGTGGTGTCGAGGATCATGGGTAGAGGAGGCTGCAACATCACAGCTATACAGGACGTGACGGGAGCACACATCGACGTGGACAAACAGAAAGACAAGAACGGAGAGAGAATGATCACCATCAGGTAGGGAGGGAGGGAGAGAGAATTATCACCATCAGGTGGAGAAGGAGGGGATGGAGAGGGAGGGGGAGAGAGGAAGGGAGGGGATGGAGAGGACGGGAGAGGGAGAGAGAGAGAGAGAGAGAGAGAGAGAGAGAGAGAGAGAGAGAGAGAGAGAGAGAGAGAGAGAGAGAGAGACCTCTGGTGGCAGCAGCCCACTATTAGACCAGTCAACCGAGTAGAGAACTGAACAGGAGGAAACGAGAGAAAATAAAAGCTACGCTACCAGGAATATACACTACCGGTCAAAAGTTTAGAACACCTACTGATTCCAGGATTTTCTTTATTTTTACTATTTTCTACATTGTAGAATAATAGTGAAGACATAAAAACTATGAAATAGCACATATGGAATCATGTAGTAACCAAAAAAGTGTTCAAGAAATCTAAATATATTTTATATTTGAGATTCTTCAAATCGCCACCCTTTGCCTTGATGACAGCTTTGCACACTCTTGGCATTCTCTCAACCAGCTTCATGAGGTAGTCACCTGGAATGCATTTCAATTAACAGGTGTGCCTTAAAAGTTAATGTGTGGAATTTCTTTCCTTCCTAATGTGTTTGAGCCAATCACATGTGTTGTGACAAGGTAGGGGGGGTATACAGAAGATAGCCATATTTGGTAAAAGACCAAGTCCATATTATGGCAAGAACAGCTCAAATAAACAAATAAACGACAGTCCATCATTACTTTAAGACATGAAGGTCAGTCAATACGTTTCTCTGGGTTTCTCTGGGTCTTCAAGTGCAGTCGCAAAAACCATCAAGCGCTATGATGAAGCTGGCTCTCATGGAATGGAAGACCCAGAGTTACCTCTGCTGCAGAGGATAAGTTCATTGGTTACCAGCCTCAGAAATTGCAGGCCAAATAAATGCTTCAGAGTTCAAGTAACAGACACATCAACATCAACTGTTCAGAGGAGACTGCGTGAATCAGGCCTTCATGGTCGAATTGCTGCAAACAAACCACTACTAAAGGACACCAATAAGAAGAAGAGACTTGCTTGGGCCAAGAAACATGAGCAATGGACATTAGACTGGTGGAAATGTGTCCTTTAGTCTGGAGTCCAAATTGGAAATTTTTGGTTCCAACTGCCGTGTCTTTGTGAGACGCGGTGTGGGTGAACGGATGATCTCCGCATGTGTATTTCCCACGATAAGCATGGATGAGGAGGTGTTATGGTGTGGGGGTGCTTTGCTGGTGACACTGTCTGTGATTTATTTAGAATTCAAGGCACACTTAACCAGCATGGCTACCACAGCATTCTGCAGCGATATGCCATCCCATCTGGTTTGGGCTTAGTGGAACTATCATTTGTTTTTCAACAGGACAATGACCCAACACACCTCCAGGCTGTATAAGGGCTATTTTACCAAGAAGGAGAGTGATGGAGTGCTGCATCAGATGACCTGGCCACAATCCCCTGACCTCAACCAAATTGAATGGTTTGGGATGAGTTGGACCGCAGAGTGAAGGAAAAGCAGCCAACAAGTGTTCTGCATCTGTGGGAACTACTTCAAGACTGTTGGAAAAGCATTCCAGGGGAAGCTTGTTGAGAGAATGCCAAGAGTGTGCAAAGCTGTCGTCAAGGCAAAGGGTGGCTGTTTGAAGAATCTCATATAAAATATATTTTGATTTGTTTAACACTTCTTTGGTTACTACATGATTCCATATGTGCTATTTCATAGTTTTGATGTCTTCACTATTATTCTACAATGTAGAAAATAGTAAAAACAAAGAAAAACCCTTGAATGAGTAGGTGTTCTAAAACTTTTGACCAGTAGTGTATGTGTTGATTTATCTGAGTGATTCTAAGTATTTAGAAGGAATGAAGTGTGGTCTTAATCATCCTCCTGCTGTATCTCCAGGATATCAGTGAAGAGTTCAGATACTGTGATTGGTTGGAACCATTTCCATATGGAATGTATACATTGTAGTGCATCCCCTGACCCCCGTGTTGTGATGGTCCATTCCAGAGGTGGCACAGAGTCGACACGCCACGCGGTCCAGCTGATCAACTCTCTGATCCAGGACCCAGCCAAGGAACTAGAGGACCTGATCCCCAGGAACCACATCAGGGCCCCGGGCTCCAAGACCACCTCAGTCCCCTTCCCCACCCCCACTGGAGCTAACCTTAACCTCACCGTCGGGGCCAAGGCACTGGGCTCCCTGGTCACGTCCTCTGGGGTCTCCTTCCAGTCCTCCTCCTCTCAGACAGGGGGTAAGATGGGTAAGGGTCTGTCGTCTGGGGTGAGGCAGCCCTTCCCCGTGTCTCTCCCCCTGGCCTACGCCCATCCCCAGCTGGCCCTTCTGGCAGCCCAGACCATGCACCAGATCAGGCTCCCCAGACTGCCCATGGCCCAGTTCGGTGGGACCTTCTCCCCTGCCGCCAGCACCTGGGGCCCGTTCCCGGTGCGGCCGCTGAGTCCCGGTAGCGCCAACAGCTCCCCCAAACACAACGGTGGTAGTAGTAACAACCAGGCCAGATCCAACTTATCTAGTCATAATGATCACAACACATCATCCACAGGGTCCTCTGTCTCCAGTCCTAGTGCCTTTAACAGTCACGCTGCTACGACTACAGGGTCACCCCACACCCCTCCTGGGGCCCAACCCAGTGCCCCCACCCCTTCCTCAGTCAGGAAACAGCTGTTCACCTCTGACCCCAAGCACACAGGGGTCAACTCTGTCTCCATGGTTACTGCCACCACTGTCAGTAGTAGTAGTAGTAATAGTAGTAGTCACTCAGTGAGAGGTACAGGGTCTCCCGCCCACCAATACACAGGCTTAACGGCTACATACGCCCCTAAACCTCATCAACCCCAGGTCGCCCCCATCTCTCAGCCCCCCAAGTCACCCCCCAGCGCCCCCACTGCTCCCCCAGGCAAGGTGAAGCTGACCCCCTCCCTCTCTCAGGAGGCCCAGCCCGTCTCAGTCAACAATGGGGTTAGTTCAGGTGGTTTCACCGCCCCTGCCATGGCTGCCCCCTCCAAACCTGAGCCCCGCCAGCAGCAGCACCAACCCCCTCCCCTAACCTCCACCTCCTCCTCAGACTCCCCTCCACCTCTCCTCCCTCCTCAGTCCAGCTCCCACCTCCCCCCATCCTCCTCCGCCCCCTCACACACACACCCCAACAGCACCGTACCCCACTTCTCGGCTCCCGCTCCCCGCGTCTCACACCGCATGCAGCCCCCGACAGGGCCCTACTACCAACACCCCAACCAGCAGCAGCAACAACAACAACCGTTCCTACCCCACAACACACAGCAACAACAACATGAGCACCCCAACCAGCAGCAGCCCCAAGCGTCCCAGCCAACCTCCATGCCCCCTCAGCCCCAGTCTCCTCACCACCCCCAGTCCTCCATGGGTCTGATGAACGGCTCTCAGATGCAGCAACAGCAGGTCCATGGTGGGGCCAAGCCCCAGCAGATGCCCCCTAACTTCGGCCCTGCAGCCCTCTTCAACCATTTCAGCAGCATGTTCGACAACAACCAGGTGGGTGCCACCACACATTATTTTCTACTATTTATATTTTTATTATCCAAAGAAAAACATTTTATTACAACAGAGCAGGGCTATCCAACCCTGTTCCTGGAGAGCTACCCTCCTGTAGGTTTTCACTCCAACCCTGTTCCTGGAGAGCTACCCTCCTGTAGGTTTTCACTCCAACCCTGTTCCTGGAGAGCTACCCTCCTGTAGGTTTTCACTCCAACCCTGTTCCTGGAGAGCTACCCTCCTGTAGGTTTTAACTCCAACCCTGTTCCTGGAGAGCTACCCTCCTGTAGGTTTTCCTTCCGACCCCAGTTGTAACTAACCAGATTCAGCCCATCAACCAGCTTATTATTAGAATCAGGTGAGCTAGATTAGGGTTGGAGCGAAAACCTACAGGAGGGTAGCTCTCCAGGAACAGGGTTGGAGAGCCCTGCCATAGAGTAACAACATGTTTGAAGGTTGTGACCTAAACTTCAGTGCCTACTCATTTTGGGTCATACCTGTGCCCAATTTGCTCACTAACCACTTGTCTCTATTAGGTGGGTAACAACCAGGTGTGGGGTGCGTGCCACCTCCCTGCCCGCTCCCCCCCTGAGCAGCAGTATTCTGCCCCCCCCACCTACATGGGCATGGGCCAGATGGATGGCATGATGGCCCCTCCTCCAGACAGCTCCAAGGCCCCTGGATACCGCTCTGCCTCACAGAGGATGGTCAACAGTCCCATTGGTAAAATAAAAGGCTATTTAGATGATTTATTTTCTCTTTGACTTTGTTTGACCTTACAGTATATGCCCCAACTCTCTCTCCCTGTCTTACAGCTCTGAGTCTGACCAGCTATGCTACCAGTATGTCTGGTAGTCCAGGGTACCTGCAGTCTATAGGCCTCTAACTCTCTCTCTCTGTATGTAGCTCTGACCAGCTATGCTACTAGTATGTCTGGTAGTCCAGTCTATCTACACGGCCCAGCAGCTGTGGGAACCCCCTCCTTCAGCAGACAGCACTTCTCCCCTCACCCCTGGAGCGCTGCCACATCAGGTACTGACACAGATGTGTGAAAATGAATCTAAAATGCCCATGAAGCTTATTTTCCAGGAATTCAACACACAGAACATAAATTATTTAACTAATACAATTTAAGAGATTTTTGCCTAACTAGACACACAACCTTTAACCCCTCCCCTCCCCAGGCGAGTCCCAGGCGGTGCCCCCTGCCTCCACGGTGTCGTCGTCTGGCCCCCCGGGCCCCCCTCCCCACCAGGCCAAGCAGGGCCAGGGCAGCAGCCAGCAGGACAGGAAGGTGCCTCCTCCCATCGGGACAGAGAGGCTGGCTAGGATCAGACAGACCACCGTCAACCCTCCTCTCCTCCAGACCTCCTACACCGCTCCTGTAGGACAGGGAGGCATATGGTCCTTCGGAGTCGGCAGCGCCTCGGGTGAGTAGTCACACACACAACCTTTAACCCACCCTGGTCTCTCCATCCCCTGATGTAGGGCTGATAGGTAAACAGACCACACCCCGTGTCTCATCTCCCGTCTCCCTCTCCTCTAGAAGCCATGTCAGGTTGGTCCCAGCCCCTGATGGGTAGTCACATGATGCACCCTGGGCTGCAGGCGGACCACAACTTCTCCCAGTACCAGCCCATGGAGCAGGACGACACCGGCATCTCTAACCCCGCTAACAACTACCACCAGCAACACATCAACCACCCCAACAACTACATGGACTTCCCCAAGGTAACACACACACCTTTGCTGATTTTGAAAGTATCATATCACCTTCTCAAATGGCTGTTCCTCTTCTTGTCTGTGTCTCCAGGGTAGGGCCATGTCAATATACTGTAGATAGTGGACCTTGTTGTCTCCAGGGTAGGGCCATGTCAATATACTGTAGTTAGTGGACCTTGTTGTCTCCAGGGTAGGGCCATGTCAATATACTGTAGTTAGTGGACCTTGTTGTCTCCAGGGTAGGGCCATGTCAATATACTGTAGTTAGTGGACCTTGTTGTGATGTGTATAATGACCTTGTTGTCTCCAGGGTAGGGCCATGTCAATATACTGTAGATAGTGGACCTTGTTGTCTCCAGGGTAGGGCCATGTCAATATACTGTAGTTAGTGGACCTTGTTGTGATGTGTATAATGACCTTGTTGTCTCCAGGGTATGGCCATGTCATTAGACCTTGTTGTTGTGATGTGTATAATGACCTTGTTGTCTCCAGGGTATGGCCATGTCGATGTATGGAGGGACCATGCTGCCCCCCAACCCCCCTATGGGAGAGGGTCCGGGGGGGGCCATGTTCAACGGGCTGCACTCTGCCGACCCTGCATGGAGCCCCATCATCAAGGTGGTCCCCAACAACGCAGACAACACCGACCCACAGCAGGTGAGACTTTATCGACACACACACACACACACACACAAACACACACACAGTTGTCTTTGCTAATGGAATTTCCTCTCTCCCCTGTTCCTCTTTCCCCCCTTGCCTCTCCTCACGTTCAGGTGTGGCCTGGTACCTGGGCTCCTCACGTGCACCTGAACCACGTCAACTAGCCGGCCGGCATCGACAGCAATCAAACACACACACACACACACATCACAAACTGACAACAAAACCTTGACGAGACAAAAACCAACAGATTTGTAAAACATGCTAACTTTAGTAGAGAACAGAGAGCAAAGCAGAGTTTGACCAATTGGAGAGAAATTATCTTGGCACCGTTCTTTAATAAGAAATAAAGAAATATACTACAATTTGAGCGAGGGCTGTTATGGTGGTGGGGTCGTGAGGGAGGGAAAACTCTGGGCCCTAGTTCTGTTTAAAGTCCTGTTGATGTCTGATGAACAACCAAACGGATGGTGACAGCCTGTCCAACTGGCTCCATGCTCTGTGTAGCTTAGCTTTAGGACTTCCACCCACGTACAGAGTTCTCGCTCTCCTTAAGGGGAGAGCTTGACCTGATTAAAGATGATGATGATGACGTAGCTAATGATACTCAGCCAAGAACTAGAGGATGATGATTACCTAAAGAGAGGGCGAGAGAAAGAAATCAGAATACCTTTTAGTGGTAAATACATGTATAATTGTTTACATACTAAAAAAAGGGTTAAAATGAGAGTACGTTTCACGTCCTATAGTGGCTCTACTTTACGTAGCCTGTATTAATGTGAAATATTTACCTTAATATTCAATAAAAATATTGAAATGTACTTGTTGTGGCAGTGCACTTTTTTGTATATGTGTAGGTAGGGCTTTGTATTTATTTCCCCAAAATAAATGGCATGTTTGACTAGTGACAACACAATGTATTTATATATTGTCGTCTTCGAAAATAAAATCTGCACACTCAACTCATGGCTCCGACGCGATACATTTAATAAATACTAACATTTTGACAGCTAATGCTGCGTTCATAATCAAGTGGGAAGGTGGTATTTACCACATATGACTGGGGAAAAATCCACTTGAACGCCCCTCCAACTGGTGATTTACTAGTGGGAAACGTCTTATCATCCCTGAGCTCTGACTTCTCCCACATCGGTGTCCAAATCACTAAGGACTTAAAATGGTCCACACACACAGCCTCTTCCCCCTCAGGAGGTTGAAAATATTTGGCATGGGCCCTCAGATCCTCAAAGTTCTACAGCTGCACCATTGAGAGCATCTTGACTGGCTGCATCACTGCTTGGTACGGCAACTGCACCGCCCTCGATCGCATGGCGCTACAGAGGGTGGTGCAGACAGCCCAGTACATCACTGGGGCCGAGCTCCCTGCCATCCAGGACCTCTTTATCAGGTGGTTTGAAAGGAAAGCCCGGAAAATTGTTAGACTCCAGCCACCCAAGTCATAGACTGTTCTCTCTGCTTCAACATGACAAGCGGTATCGGAGCAACAAGTCTGACACCAATAGGCTCCTGAACAGCTTCTATCCCCAAGCCATAATACTGCTAAATAGCTAACAAAATGGCTATACGGACTATCTGCATTAACTGTTTTATTTTAATTCGATTTTTGCACTGACTTTATGCACACTCACAGGACTCTATACACTCACACTCCAAAACACACACGCGAACACAATTTGCTCACACACAACACAAACAAACATACTGACTCTTCACACTCACATACAATCATCAATAACGCTGCTGCTACTCTATTTATTATATATCCTGATGCCTAGTCACCTTACCCCTATACAGTGCATTCGGAAAGTATTCAGACCCCTTCACTTTTTCCACATTGTGTTACGGCACAGCCTTATTCCAAAATTGATTAAATTGTTTGTTTTCCGCAATCTACACACAATACCCCATAATGACAAAGCAAAAACAGGTTTTTAGAAATGTTTGAAAATGTATTACAAATAATAAAACTATCAATTTACATAAGTATTCAGATCCTTTACTCAGTACTTTGTTGAAGCACATTTTGGCAGCGATTAAAGCCTTGAGTCTTCTTGGGTATGACGCTACAAGCTTGGCACACCTATATTTGGGGAGTTTCTCCCATTCTTCTCTGCAGATCCTCTCAAGCTCTGTCAGGTTGGATGGGGAGCATCGCTGCACTGCTATTTTCAGGTCTCTCCAGAGATGTTCGATCGGGTTCAAGTCCGGGCTCTGGCTGGGCCACTGAAGGACATTCAGAGACATGTCCCGAAGCCACTCCTGCGTTGTCTTGGCTGTGTGCTTAGGGTCGTTGTCCTGTTGGAAGGTGAACCTTCGCCCCAGTCTGAGGTCCTGAGCACCCTGGAGCAGGTTTTCATCAAGGATCTCTCTGTACTTTGCTCCGTTCATCTTTCCCTCAAGCCTAACTAGTCTCCCAGTCCCTGCCGCTGAAAAACATCCCCACAGCAAGATGCTGCCACCACCATGCTTCACCATAGGGATGGTGCCAGGTTTCTTCCAGACATGACGCTTGGCATTCAGGCCAAAGAGTTAAATCTTGGTTTCATCAGACCAGAGAATCTTGTTTCTCATGGTCAGAGTCCTTTTAGGTGCCTGGGCGATGAAACTACGGAAAGCCATTCATTTCCAATGGAAGAAGCGAAGTGGGCAGGGGATCATTGAGCGACGCATGCATGGGCGAGGGAGCGTGAACAGGACGGGACCAAATATGCAAATACTCTGTGACATCGCACCGTAATTGACTCATCGAAGCTCACTATAGATTCCAGCCTCTACTGGATTGGCTGTTGATTCCTAGCAGTACCTAGCATGCTTGCTAGCATTCACACGAGGGCGAAGCTAGCGTGGTGAGGCGGAATACAAGTGCTAGTTAATGCAGCGTTCACGTTTTTTGTTTGTTTGTTTTTTCACCTTTATTTAACCAGGTAAGCCAGTTGAGAACAAGTTCTCATTTACAACTGCGACCTGGCCAAGATAAAGCAAAGCAGTGCGATAAAAACAACAACACAGAGTTACATATGGGGTAAAAAAACAAAGTCAAAAAAATACAACTGAAAATATATATACAGTGTGTGCAAATGTAGCAAGTTATGGAGGTAAGACAATAAATAGGCTATAGTGCAAAATAATTACAATTAGTATTAACACTGGAATGCTAGATGTGCAAGAGATTATGTGCAAATAGAGATACTGGGGTGCAAAAGAGCAAAATACATAACAATATAGGGATGAGGTAGTTGGGTGGGCTAATTTCAGATGGGCTGTGTACAGGTGCAGTGATCGGTAAGGTGCTCTGACAACTGATGCTTAAAGTTAGTGAGGGAGATAAAGAGTCTCCAGCTTCAGAGATTTTTGCAATTCGTTCCAGTTATTGGCAGCAGAGAACTGGAAGGAATGGCGGCCAAAGGAGGTGTTGGCTTTGGGGATGACCAGTGAGATATACCTGCTGGAGCGCAGACTACGGGTGGGTGCTGCTATGGTGACCAATGAACTAAGATAAGGCGGGGATTTGCCTAGCAGTGATTTATAGATGGCCTGGAGCCAGTGGGTTTGACGACGAACATGTAGTGAGGACCAGCCAACAAGAGCGTACAGGTCACAGTGGTGGGTAGTTGGAGCTTTGGAGACAAAACGGATGGCACTGTGATAGACTACAGTAAATTTGCTGAGTAGAGTGTTGGAGGCTATTTTGTAAATGACATCGCCGAAGTCAAGGATCGGTAGGATAGTCAGTTTTACGAGGGCATGTTTGGCAGCATGAGTGAAGGAGGCTTTGTTGCGAAATAGGAAGCCGATTCTAGATTTAACTTTGGATTGGAGATTCTTAATGTGAGTCTGGAAGGAGAGTTTACAGTCTAACCAGACACCTAGGTCTTTGTAGTTGTCCACATACTCTAGGTCAGACCCGTCGAGAGTAGTGATTCTAGTCGGGTGGGCTGGACTGGTTGGAACTAGGAAACTCAAATTTCCGACTTGCTTAATGGTTGTACGTGTATAAACAAAGATTTTTATAACGAATATAGACTACAGCATGTCGTTTCCAATGGGAACAAATGAGTCACAGTGCGCAACACAAGCAAGGAGGTGGGCAGAGCCAAGCACAAGCTAGCAAGATCCTATTGGCACATTCTAGCCACATTTGCATATTTCCGTTAGGGAACGCCTACTCTGAAGTGCGCGTGTGCAATAACTCAATTTGCCTTTGCACTCCTAAACAACTGCAATTGTTTTTAAACTGGCAAAGGGTAAAGTCTACAAAACTTTGTCCACTCTGTTCGGCACAGATTGTAGTTTTGGGAACAGAAAACTGTATAGAGATCAAATGTTTAATTGATGAGAAAATGTGCAGAATGTCAGCAAAAATCCATCTCGTTCCATCTTCTCCCACTGCCGGCCAATGGGCTTCCAGTCACTACCATATTTGGTAGTGAGTGGAAATGCCAAGCGGATGCTTCGCATTGATATGTCCAGTGAAATATCTCTCATTGTCCTATATGTGTATAATTACAACCAGTTAGCAAGGTTGAGAGCTTCAAGTTCCTTGGTGTCCACATCACCAACAAACTATCATGGTCCAAACACACCAAGACAGTCGTGAAGAGGGCACGACAACACCTATTCCTCCTCAGGAGACTGAAAAGATTTGGTATGGGTCCTCAGATCCTCACAAAGTTATTCAGCTGCACCATCGAGAGCATCCTGACTGGTTGTATCACCGCCTGGTATGGCAACTGCTCGGCCCAGTACATCACTGGGGCCAAGCTTCCTGCCATCCAGGACCTCTATACCAGGCGGTGTCAGAGGAAGGCCCTAAAAATTGCTAAAGACTCCAGCCACCCTAATCATAGACTGCTCTCTCTACCGGTACCCCCTGTATATAGCCTCGTTACTGTTATTTTGTTGCTCTTTAATTGTTATTTTTCTATTTGTTTTATTTATTATTTACTTCAGTTTATTTTAGTAAATACTTTAACACTTATTTTTCTTAACTGCATTGTTGGTTAAGGGCTTGTAAGTACAGTGGGGGAAAAAAGTATTTAGTCAGCCACCAATTGTGCAAGTTCTCCCACTTAAAAAGATGAGAGAGGCCTGTAATTTTCATCATAGGTACACGTCAACTATGACAGACAAATTGAGGGGAAAAAATCCAGAAAATCACATTGTAGGATTTTTTATGAATTTATTTGCAAATTATGGTGGAAAATAAGTCTTTGGTCACCTACAAACAAGCAAGATTTCTGGCTCTCACAGACCTGTAACTTCTTTAAGAGGCTCCTCTGTCCTCCACTCGTTACCTGTATTAATGGCACCTGTTTAAACTTGTTATCAGTATAAAAGACACCTGTCACACTCCAAACTCCACTATGGCCAAGACCAAAGAGCTGTCAAAGGACACCAGAAACAAAATTGTAGACCTGCACCAGGCTGGGAAGACTGAATCTGCAATAGGTAAGCAGCTTGGTTTGAAGAAATCAACTGTGGGAGCAATTATTAGGAAATGGAAGACATACAAACCACTGATAATCTCCCTCGATCTGGGGCTCCACGCAAGATCTCACCCCGTGGGGTCAAAATGATCACAATAACTTTTTGGTAAAAACTCAACTCGTCGTGTTTGGAGGACAAAGAATGCTGAGTTGCATCCAAAGAACACCATACCTACTGTGAAGCATGGGGGTGGAAACATCATGCTTTGGGGCTGTTTTTCTGCAAAGGGACCAGGACGACTGATCCGTGTAAAGGAAAGAATGAATGGGGCCATGTATCGTGAGATTTTGAGTGAAAACCTCCTTCCATCAGCAAGGGCATTGAAGATGAAACGTGGCTGGGTCTTTCAGCATGACAATGATCCCAAACACACCGCCCGGGCATCGAAGGAGTGGCTTCGTAAGAAGCATTTCAAGGTCCTGGAGTGGCCTAGCCAGTCTCCAGATCTCAACCCCATAGAAAATCTTTGGAGGGAGTTGAAAGACCGTGTTGCCCAGCGACAGCCCCAAAACATCACTGCTCTAGAGGAGATCTGCATGGAGGAATGGGCCAAAATACCAGCAACAGTGTGTGAAAACCTTGTGAAGACTTACAGAAAACGTTTGACCTGTGTCATTGCCAACAAAGGGTATATAACAAAGTATTGAGAAACTTTTGTTATTGACCAAATACTTATTTTCCACCATAATTTGCAAATAAATTCATTAAAAATCCTACAATGTGATTTTCTGGAATTTCTTTTCTCATTTTGTCTGTCATAGTTGACGTGTACCTATGATGAAAATTACAGGCCTCTCTCATCTTTTTAAGTGGGAAAACTTGCACAATTGGTGGCTGACTAAATACTTTTTTCCCCACTGTAAGCATTTCACTGTATGGTCTAAATCTGTTGTATTTGGCACATGTGACAAACACAATTTTATTGTATTTTATTAGACAAGGCGAGGAGACGCAACAACCAATGGTTGCATGCTACGTCATCGACTGACAAATTGCTATAATTTTTGTGGTTAGCTGATACTTAATACCAGGCATTGCAAGCAGTGTTGCCAATTTAGTGACTTTGTCGCTATATTTAGCGAGTTCAGACCCCTCTAGCGACCCATTTTCAAAAAAGCGTCTAGCGACAAATCTAGCGACTTTTTCTGGTGTTATTGGAGACTTTTGGAGACTCTGACGTGAAAGCACTTATCGTTCTTACTCTTCTCAACGAGCAGCGGGTGCTTTGTTACCCCCGTCCCAGAGCACACAGGCGGCCCAGTCCTCGCACAGCAGTCCCTCCCAGCTGCAGTCAGAGCAGGAGATGTTCACCCCTCCGTGTCCAGACTGCAAATGAATCGCGCTGGCTGATCCCGCCCTGGCTTACATTCAGGGTGGAATGTAAATGTAGGGACCACTTTTTCTTTCCCACGACGTTATTCCTCTCTCCTACAGCGTCCATCACAATTACATGCACGTGGCCAATTATGCAAATTAGGCGATTACGTCATTTAGCGACTTTTAGGACAGCCAATAGCTACTTTCCTTTCTGAGGAGTTGGCAACACTGATGTCCGGCGTCTGCAAGCTCAAAGCATAGGAACTACCCATTCTGTCACCACCACTCAAACGCGCCCATTGTCTTAAAGGCAGAAGGCAGGTGAGAGCAGGTTGGAACATTCTAGCCAATGAGAGGGCATATATAGGTGTGTGAACAACAGACACAACTCCAAATAAAATCATTTTTCTCAAAGTTGCCGAGATGCCACGTGCGTCCACTTATATCAGTACATTTGTAACAACCTAAACATTACGAAACATTAGCAAATTAGCATCCAATCACATTTTTTGTTGACCAAATCCGACACTCATAGACCGCCATACAAAAAGCCCCCACTTAGTAAATTTGTCGCTGTATTCTCGCGTGGACATATTGACGAGAGTGGAACATCTCGCTTTGCCTCTACCTCTCTGGCAACGTGTAGTCACGTTGGGCACGTCACACTAGAGCAACTAGCTACTCTCGTCCAGAGAAACTAACTACCTGGGGATTTCCTTCTCTGGTGCTGTAGTAGCGCACTGATAAACAGATGATCTAATGCTGTGGGAGCCTGACAGCTGGGGGGCTGGGAGGTGCTGGGTGCCAAATGACAAACAGAGTGATGTATGCCTTAGGCAACAAGGAGAATGTGAGGCATGCCAGGTCGTGTGTGTGTTCGTTCACCGTTTCGGGAACCTTGTGTGTGCGCACTAGTTTACAGTTTGGGGTGAAACTTCATATCAGCCATTGTGTCCTTGTCGGCGGGCGGTGAGTTATGATGACTGTTCTCTTCAGTGGGTCAGAAGACCTGTCATGCAGTAGCACACTTCCTGTTCCCATTACATGTATTATAAAACAATCAATGCTGTATACCAATTAAATATATTTATCTCACGCGGGTGAGAAGTTTATTGTGCAGCCATGAATGTACAATATACCCAGCCTGTGTACACATTGTTAATCAGATCACAATACATAAAAGTAAATGGGAATATGTTGTTCAGTGGTATCAATACACAGACAGATCCATTTAGTGATGTCATAACTTCATTTGCTGGGTTCACAGTCATATTCAGGTAGGTACATTATCAGAATGTGGTGAGTTGATGTAGATCAGTTTATTATTTTTTGGATGGAAATTATTGTATTTTGAGTCTTGGTGTTTCTGCTGAATAATGTATTTGCTTTGCCATTGTTGTCAAGTAAAACAAGTTGGGACTTGTTTATGGTCAGTGTTACTTTCTGTTCTACACCATCGCTTCAGATTAGATCCACTGGATTACTTCTGGATCAAAAGGACCATATCACTCCGTTTAGGACAGCCCCACCCTATCCTCCACCCTTCACAGGCGGAGCTAGTATGAGTGACTAACCAGTCGCCCTTCCTCATGGAGATTATGTTCTTGCGATCACAACACGTCACATGACCAGAGTCACCCTGGCAGTTATTAAATGCACTCGAACATGTTGAACATCTCTCAGTTCGTTCTCTCTAGCTACGGTTGTTGCTGAGCTGACAGCAATACTTATCTGCCAACAAAACCGTCCGCTCTGAACTGCAGTCGATTCCGTCTCTTATTTGTTTAGCTAGCCAGTTTTAGCTACGTTTTCATTGTTGTGGATCTTGTTAGCAAATTACTTGGAGATTTTCTTGTTTGGTAAACGTTTGTAAACAATCGAATTTGTAAGATCAGCTGATCTTCACACAAAGCATCTTTCTGCGGTTGATCAGAAGAACCCAAACAAACTCAGGATGACTACCAACGCTCAGCAGGCGAAGAGTTGCCCCATCCCTACCCGGGTTCTCACCCTGAAAGACTGGTCTCAGCTCCCCGACTGCTACAGTCAGACTCCCGGGGGTACTCTCTTCTCCACAACGCCCGGAGGTAAGAGCACGGAGCCGGATGTTTGTTTATGATCAACCATGCACCACGCTCAACACGTTTTGTACCAGGGATAATTTATCTAACGTTAGTGTCTTAGTAAATATAATATATTATGGTTTCACCAACATTAGCCAGCTATTTTTTTTATAGTTTGAAAACGAACGTTATATTGTGGGATTAGGGGATCTAAACTAGCTAGCTACTTGTCGAAGGTTGTGCACGAAATAACACGTTCACGTTCTTTAAAGCTGTTTTGAAAGGTACATTTACCTACCCAAATCTTGCAACCACTCATCGTTACTCAACCCTCAGTTTCCAGTTTATTTGTGTCGTACATAATACATGCGCAAATGAGTGCCACGCGCTTGTTAGTTAGCTGGCTAAAACTAGTCTAGCTATCTGTGTCTGACTTGCAGCGTAGTGTTCTGTCTTTCAGTTTGACTTGCAGCGTACTGTGTTGTGTATCTGTTTGACTTGCAGCGTAGTGTTCTGTCTGTCAGTTTGACTTGCAGCATACAGCGTTTATGTTGGAAATTGTGTATAATATGCTTGCTATGTGATATTTTAAATGCTAATGCAAATTTAATCAATGCATCTTCAAAAAAAGTGTTCAAATTATTGCCTCCAGTCTTTTTAATACAGAGGTCACTCTTCCTTTACTGGAAAAGCTTTATTCTTATTGACAGACGAAAATAAAAAATGCATTTTTAAGTGATGTGGAAAAAAACAAGGTTTACTTGTTCAACCTCATGGCTGCTTACGTGCAGTCTGTGCAGAGCAATCTGGTGGTGAGATTCGGTACTGTCTGTTTACCACACACACAGCTCAGACCTGTCCAAACTCGCTGACAAGAGAGCTGGCTGCTGCAATTCACATTCACAACAACACCCACGTAAAGTGTTATGTTGGGTACCAATTCACAATTAACTTTGACTGGGCCAAATTAAACTTTAGCTTACATATGTTTTGTTAGTTGGGATGTAAGTGAAGTAGTCATAGTGATGGGTGTTATGGTTGTCAAATTTGGCACAACATTCTGGACAGAAAAATACTTGTGAAAAAGCAGATTGTTGGACAACAAGCTCCTCTTGACCTATGGGTGGGCGGTGCCAGATTCAGGGTGATGATTGGGAAGAAGAGAGGGAGACATCCCCTCTGTGCGCCCCCGCAGCTGCCCTGGTGCATTTCAGGAATACTGTAGGAACATTGTGTTCCAGCCAAGTGGAGAGGGAGGGAGGGATCAGAGGGGGGAGGGATTGGGAAGCATAAATGGAGTGCAACGAGGCCTTTCTAAGAATGGATGAAGTGAGGGCACGAGGGAGGGAGTGGTGGAATGTGTGATTTGGCTGAGGAGGCCAGAAAACAGTGTGGTTTCAGGTCCTCTATGGATACTTCATGTCCCTTATGTGTTGTGGAAGGCATGGCCAGACCAGAACAACTTAGTTATGAGCTTTAAGGGGTTATAACATGGATATAACAGCTCTGTTACTGTCGTTACAGTGGTTATTGGTGGTTCTTCATTGATGCCTTACAACCAATGGCCTAGAGTAGTTTTACATGATGCTTCTATAACCAGAAGTAAAGTTTATGCAACTAACTGCTGATGTGAGCACAACAAGCACATGGTATGGAGAGACTCTTCCGGTCCCCCGCCCAATCATGTAACATCTCCTCTCCCTGTTGTAATGTGATGAGGGGAGGGAGGGGGATGTCCCATTGCCACAAACAGAGTGAGTAGCATTACAAGGGACGTGGTACGTTTCCTGTGAACAAAGAGATTGGCCACAGAGCTGGGCTTGGCTGGGCCTCTGCTGCATAACTCATGGCCAGGGTACTATAGCTTAGCTGCTGGCTGGCCTGCTCTCTCTGCATAGCTTCTGCCTGAATTCCTGCCCCAATGTTCCCTCGTGCGCACGCACACACTCCTTCCCCTCCGCTCCCCTTTTGTTCAGGACAGGGTGCTCAACAGGCAGAGGTTGCATAGTGTGTGTGTGTGTGTAAATAGAAGTGATTAAGTGCAGAACAGTTGTAACTCCAGCATGCTGTACTAATACTAAATACTGCACGGCACCACTCCCTGTCCTCTCCATGTAACCCTGTCCAGGGAAAACTTCACTAGTAGACACCACAACATTGGATGATTCACATCTAACAGCTGTTTATGAAATGTTCTGGAAGGCAGCCTGCTAATTAGTTTATCTAGTACACAGTGGTTCAGGTCAAACTTCAGTTCATCAGCATGATATTCATATTCAGTATGATATATCTAACGGTTGTTTATCAATGTTCTGTTGCAATTCAGGGAATCATCAGTCTCTCAGCTGGTCCTCTGTAGCTCAGCTGGTAGAGCACGGCGCTTGTAACGCCAAGGTAGTGGGTTCGATCCCCGGGACCACCCATACACAAAAATGTATGCACGCATGACTGTAAGTCGCTTTGGATAAAAGCGTCTGCTAAATGGCATATTATTATATTATATTATATTATAACCTGTCAGAGCCCAGTTGTTGGGATTATGGTTCATTGTTTAGCTAGCTAGCTACATGTCTAAACAAAAGACTCCACTATGCAAGTAACCATTTCAATAGAATGTTCATGATGTCAATGCGACAACTGTCGATAGACGTAGCTGGTAAATTCGCTCTGGCTATCTACTTCGATTTCAGAGCAGTCTCGTCTGAGTGTGCCAGAGTTCAGAATAACTGACACATTTACGAACGCTCAACACCAGTTGAATATGGCCGGTGTCAGTAAACGTTGGGGAAAAAGTGTAATTAAATTGTTGCCAGCAGCACAGTTGCAGTCACCAACGCTCTGGATAACATAAAAACAGCCTAACCAGCTCTGCTAGGGCGAATATAATGGTCAGAGTGAGGTGTTCTCTCATTTGTGTCTAGAAGTAGCTAGCCAACATTAGCCAGTTAGCTTGGGTGCTTGACTGCTGTTGTTAGGTCAGAACACTCAAATCGACCATACTCCTCGGCCAGAGTGTCCAGTGTGCGCTCTGAACGCTTTCGTCTGTCAACAAACAGACAATCTGACAACGCTCTGAGTTTACGAACTGACAATCTGACAACGCTCTGAGTTTACGAACGGACAATCTGACAATGCTCTGAGTTTACGAACAGACAATCTGACAACGCTCTGAGTTTACGAACAGACAATCTGACAACGCTCTGAGTTTACGAACAGACAATCTGACAACGCTCTGAATTTACGAACAGACAATCTGACAACGCTCTGAGTTTACGAACAGACAATCTGACAACGCTCTGAGTTTACGAACAGACAATCTGACAACGCTCTGAGTTTACGAACAGACAATCTGACAACGCTCTGAGTTTACGAACAGACAATCTGACAACGCTCTGAGTTTACGAACAGACAATCTGACAACGCTCTGAGTTTACGAACAGACAATCTGACAACGCTCTGAGTTTACGAACGGCCAATCTGACAACGCTCTGAGTTTACGAACGTGCAGAAAACCCTCTGGCACTCCAGATTACATTTACGAACCCACCCGTAGTATAAACCAGCCTTTAGTCTCCACCCGTAGTATAAACCAGCCTTTAGTCTCCACCCGTAGTATAAACCAGCCTTTAGTCTCCACCCGTAGTATAAACCAGCCTTTAGTCTTCACCCGTAGTATAAACCAGCCTTTAGTCTCCACCCGTAGTATAAACCAGCCTTTAGTCTTCACCCGTAGTATAAACCAGCCTTTAGTCTCCACCCGTAGTATAAACCAGCCTTTAGTCTTCACCCGTAGTATAAACCAGCCTTTAGTCTCCACCCGTAGTATAAACCAGCTTTTAGTCTTGAAATCTTTGGTTGTTTAGTACATGGCCTCACATGTGAATCCTTAAAGAGATGGGTGGGGCTAAAGTTTAAGAGGGTGTGAACAATGCTGAATGGGTGTAGACAAAGAAGAGCTCTCCAGTATGTGTACCAAAACATTCAAGGGCCATTTTCTCAAAAGTGATTTTACAATTTTATAAACTTTCAAAGCAGAATTACTTTCCCATTGTTCCTCAACTGTAGTGTATGATATACAAATTTCTAGCTCTGAGTCATTACTTTTATCCAGTGTAAAAAAACACAATTTCAAATTTTGCTACATAAGATCGAGCCAGTCGGTCACCTATGCCTAAGAGTCTAGGGGAGGAGAAGATGACATTTGGTTCCACAACAACCAAGGTGTTTGACTCAACATACCCCATTCCTGAGGCTGCCTGGTTGAGGGGAGGTTATCAGCACAGGACGTCTGGTCAGCCCACCTAAGCAAACAGAATGTAGGGGAAACTCTGCTGGTGACTACAGTACACATCTGAAGTGTACTACACGGTGCAGGCTACACAGAGTTATAATAATAATAATATGCCATTTAGCAGACGCTTTTATCCAAAGCGACTTACAGTCATGCGTGCATACATTTTTTGTGTATAGAGTTATGTGTGTTTGGTTCTGGTCTGCCTTCTGTCACCACTTCCTGGTTCTAGGATAATGTGTTGCTGTGCTCCACTTTCCTAGAACGGACTAACTACTGCCAACCCACCGACCACCCCTCTTCTCTTCTCCCCCTCCCTCTCTCCCTCTCCCCGGGCTGAAAACAGGGTGTGTGTGTTTAGTATGCGTCGACCAGCCCTGACCCTGAGGCCAGGGAGGGGTGACTCTCAGTTCCTTCCAGATACATTCCTCCCTCTGTCCTGTCAGGGACTTACTACTCTCTTGTATTTGTGCGGTTTTGACATCAAACTATTCATGGCCGGTTTTCAAGGACCAGATTAGATAAATCAGGAACTAAATCATCCATTTTGTAGACTGCTTAATGTTGTTGTGTTCACAACTAGTCTAACAGACTTTATGGTACATGAGTCAATTTACACTGGTTTTACTACACTGCTTTGGTCAACATGGTGTAGCTCCCTTCACTGGCAAGTCAACTGACCCTGCCCCCCCCCCCCCCCCCCCCAATCTCTGACAGGAACACGCATTATCTACGACAGGAAGTTCCTCCTGGACTGTCGGAACTCTCCCATCGCCCGTACCCCCCCCTGCTGCCTGCCCCAGATCCCTGGGGTGACGGTGCCCGCTCTGCACCCTCTGGGCAAACTACAGGAGCTAAAAGAGGAGCTGGAGGAGGAGGAGGAGAAGGACCTGGCAGGTAGGAATATACACACACCAAACACACTAGACATGTTACTGTATATAAACACATACACACATCCTGTACAGACATGTGCACACTGACATAAACTTGCATATGAACACGTACACACACACACACACACACACACACACACACACACACACACACACACAGAGGTCAAAGAGGACATGGTAGGTACAAACTGGTATAACCTGCTGCTAGCTCTACCCTACCTTTTTTATTTCCATTCAACCAGCTATATGATAATGTTGACATGTACCTGGCTTTATGTGCTTTGTCATTATGGATCCTAGTGTTGCCTGCTATCCATGCACATTGTTGCCAATTTATTCCCTTTTTTGTGAAATGTAGGATAACTTTCTGCATGTACAGTAGTGTACAGTGTAACCTTGTTAAATATTCTTACCAGACGTGTGTGTATGCAGTTTCAACATCTATGTGTTATTGTGCAAAACTCTTGACACCATTTCTAGCCTGGTTGTTTGAAGAAGTGGGTGAGGGGGAGTAGAAGGCCAGAGCAGCATTATCACTTGCTGTTATTCCTGTCTGTCTGTCAGGCATTATCCCCTGCTGTTATTCCTGTCTGTCAAGCATTATCACCTGCTGTTATTCCTGTCTGTCTGTCGGTCAAGCATTATCACCTGCTGTTATTCCTGTCTGTCAAGCATTATCACCTGCTGTTATTCCTGTCTGTCAAGCATTATCACCTGCTGTTATTCCTGTCTGTCCGTCAAGCATTATCACCTGCTGTTATTCCTGTCTGTCGGTCAAGCATTATCACCTGCTGTTATTCCTGTCTGTGTGTCAATCATAATCACCTTCTGTTATTCCGGTCTGTCAAGCATTATCACCTGCTGTTATTCCTGTCTGTCAAGCATTATCACCTGCTGTTATTCCTGTCTGTAAGGCATTATCACCTGCTGTTATTCCTGTCTGTCTATCAGGTATTATCACCTGCTGTTATTCCCGTCTGTCAAGCATTATCACCTGCTGTTATTCCTGTCTGTCTGTCAAGCATTATCACCTGCTGTTATTCCTGTCTGTCTGTCAAGCATTATCACCTGCTGTTATTCCTGTCTGTCTGTCAAGCATTATCACCTGCTGTTATTCCTGTCTGTCTGTCAGGTATTATCACCTGCTGTTATTCCTGTCTGTCAAGCATTATCACCTGCTGTTATTCCTGTCTGTCAAGCATTATCACCTGCTGTTATTCCTGTCTGTCTGTCAAGCATTATCACCTGCTGTTATTCCTGTCTGTCTGTCGGTCAAGCATTATCACCTGCTGTTATTCCTGTCTGTGTGTTGAGTGTTTGTGGAACGTTACTAGGCCTTAGCCTCTTGACAGTACTGTGAGACTAGGACTCCTTGGACCAAAGTCATGTAATAGGCCTACCTAATACTAGTCTGTCAGGACCTAGACTTCCAAGTCCTGGGCCCTGTTCATTTACTATAGAAAAATGCTTTCTTCCTAGAAGTAGCCTAATCACACCAACGTGAAGTTCATAGGAGCATGTCAAATTGGCTGTCAAATGAAAGCTGAGTCTATGTTTTTCAGAAATTAAGGCATATATACACCTTTCAAAAAATGTCCATCCTAAAAATAAGGAATAAGCAAAGGCTTTGATTTCTGGTCAGATGGAAAAGGCATCTTAGAAAATATCTACCATTTTAAAAGAAGTCTTAGGGTATTAGAAATGCCTCAGAACACAGTGTTGAAGTAAAGACTCCTGCCAACTAATATCAACACTTATATTTAGTTTTGGATAAAAAAAATTATGCCTGCAGTAAGTTTAGGAGACATTGCCTTGGATCTTGAAATTCCGTTATCAAAAACCCAGATCTTTAAGATATTTTCAAATTTCCCCCATGAGGAGGGAGGATAATGAAAGTTCACAAAAGGTAGACCTATCAATTAGTTATACTGTTTTTACTGATATCAAGTTTGTTTATGAATTATTAAGTGATTAAAACTTAATTCTGTTACCAAATTTGAGAAAAATTGGTAACAGAATTTCTGCAATTGAATTGGTTATAATGGGAAATTATAGTAGTTCCAAAGAACAGTTGGGTTCACAAGTTTGAGTACAGTAAAGAAAAGTGGCGTATAGTTCAGTACAGATTTGATCTTTAGGGGCAGAGCTCCTAAAGTTAGAATGTAGAATAATAACCAAATATGCAAAAGAGGAGATTGCATATTTATACCTTTTTGTACCTCTTCAGGATACATCCCCATGAAGAGCATGACATTTATATCCATAATTATGCATTTCTGTGTAGTACAGATCAGGGACTCATGATGTAATTTCGTTACCGCAATTCCGTTAAGGGGTGTAAATCCACTTCACTTAATGTAGTTCAATAACTCAATGTCTCATGTCATAGCTGACACCCCATTCTTTCTGCAGACATTGTTGAATCTTAATTCGGAGCAGATATTTAAGAGTTTTTGGAAAATGTGGGCACAAACTGAGGGAGATTTTACTGAAATTCTGTTACCAAACTTTGCATCTGCACAGTTCTTCCAGCAAATGTGTTTTTATAAAATGTTCAGTTTAAATTGTTAAAAGTAGCCCTTGTGCATAGAGTTGTATGGTACGTTAAACTTGAAATCAATGGATTGTGTTTGGCATACATTTTAAGTGAAAAATCGGAGGCTCAAAGCATTTCCCTTACCGTGGAATTGCCAATAGAACATTGTGTAATGTTCTCCTATCCAAAACTGCCACTATCTCTGTGTATCTTATCTGTTTCTTGGCTGTAGATATCTCTACGTATCAGCTGGCTATCGGTGTCATAGTGCACGGTTTTGTTTTGGCGGCTGAAGACACACACTGTACTATGATAGTGAGCTGCAGGCTAGTTGCACGCAGTGTCGTTAATTATCAGGTTGGTTATCTGTGCTGAGTGTGTTGAGGTCAGATCAGAACAGGGACACTAGATAAACAGTTAAATAGAGCTTGTTGTTTCAACAGCAGAGCGGGAGTGGCCTGGTGTGGTCAGAGGTTTGACTGAAGAAAAGGCACACCAGCCACTATCTCTTTCTTTCTCTCTGACCCCTCTCTTTCTGTCCATCTCTAGCTCTCTCCCATCTCTCTGCGCTCTCTGTCGCTCTCTGTCCCCCCTCTCTCTGTGAGGCTAAAGATGATGGAGATGAAAGATGACCTCCTTTCTCTCCCCTCTACTTGGCCAACAGACAGGGGGGTTAAGAGGAGGGGAAGGGTGTATTGGGTTAGGGGATTGTGTGTCTGCTCTGGGAGATTTGTTGTCTCTCCTGTCTGGAGTTGACAAAAACACCACATTGATAAGAAGGATGAACAACACTGTCACTCCCCCCGTCAATACGTTATTATGGGTGTGGTTAGGACTTAGTGGACTGATACAAGGAACGACTGATTTGTTAATGTCCGTCTCTTCTCTCTCCTCTCTCTCTCTCTCTCTCCTTCTCTCTGTCTCTCTCCATCTAGATGACAGCCAGTTTGAGATGGACATCTGAGCAGCAGCTCATTGCCTCCTGTGGAGAGAGCTGTTGTATCTTCTGTTCTGACGTCTGACTGGTCCTTTACGACCAGCATGCGTCACATATTCACCTTCTTCAACTATCTTTAAAAAAAACTTTTTGTTGAGGAAACTCCCCAAAAGAAAAAGAGAATGGGGGTATGTTGAGTTAGAAAACAATGAATCACCGCTGTATAAAGCACAGAATGCTTCAATGGTTGCAGATTCCTGTTTGAGCTGCAGGGTTGGAAGAAGCAATGTGTTTGTTGGACAGTTTTTGATTTGTACATAAGTCTACCGTACTTTTTATTTTTTTTTAAAGGAGGGAAATGTTCGATTTTACATTAAACATACAGGGACGGCAGGATTGGTCATGAAGGCAGAGTTGCTGCGTTGTTTTTTAAAACTAATACTCCCATTTTGGAGTGGCTGCTGGGCCTATGAGGGGTCACCCTGTCTGAGCCTGGCATAAGGTTAAAGGTCAGAGGTTGGGGGTGACTGTTAGACAGGCTCCTCCATGCGTCTGCCTGTGGAGGAGGAATTGAAATGTATTAAAATTCAAAATAAAATAAAGACAAAACCTAAACTTGAGTTCCGTCATGTTCTTATTTGTTGTTGGTGCCTCATTCTTCCTCATGTGATTCCTATTTTCAAACTATGCCAGAAAGCCATGTGTACATACAGCAAGTTTACCATGTCATTACTTACTTATATATGCACACACACACAAAACGAAATAATCTGGCTTGCTCTCTTACATCAAATGATTTATCGCCAAACATGTAATTGAGATTGCTGTTATGAAATAAAGAAATACTCTACTTGCTACTGCTGGCTGTCTTTCATTTTCAGATGTAAATAGACTCCCATGACTGTACTTCTAGTATGTAATGTATGCATGTTCTAATTGCTAGAACAATTAGAACATTACCCTAATCTAATCAGCAACAGCATAACCTTCTGTAGCTCAATTGGTAGAGCATGGCGCTTGTAACGCCAGGGTAGTGGGTTCGATCCCCGTGACCACCCATACGTAAAAATGTATGCACACATGACTGTAAGTCACTTTGGATAAAAGCGTCTGCTAGATGGCATATTATAACTATGTTTCCAGCCATCCTTTTTATGCGAGTAATGTCCGATAGAAAATGTCACGACAGGCGTGATGGAAACAGCAAATTTGTCAGTTAAATGTCCAAATGCAGACAAAACAAAATACGCTAGTCAAGGTGGGATCTTTTTGTGTCAGTTAAATTAATTATGCAAGAAATGGCGGTGGAAACTCCTTTTGCGCAAATATTGATATAATAACATATCGAAGTTAATTGGAGTCACGCGATTCTATTGTGTGGTTCTCCCACTATGACTCGGGAAAGCATGCAGTTTATTAGGCTACAGATTAAATAAATTATGATGAACTTCACAGGGTGGTGAAAGTGCACAGTGGTGAGGATAATGCTAATTTCCAATAAATATCGAGGGTCTTATTCTGGTGACATGATAATTGATGCATTGACAAATAAAAATCAACTTGCTCTTTTGTCCATAATAATAATAATACCTGCACTGTATATGCGAGTGCAAGCTTTTGGCTAGAGCGCACGTGCCAAGACCAGAGTGGACACATTCGCTATACTGTATAACGCAATTCTTTTTGTGACAAACCCATCAGAGTTAAATGCGATGGAAACCCATTTAACTTGTTTTTGTTTTGTTCGGTACAAGGGAATTTAACCGCGAAAGTTATTTTTATGTGCAGTATGTCATCAGGCACAGCCTTTTACCGGCAACAATTCGATGTGATCGAAAGACATCTCTGGTGGGGAAATGCGCATATTGTTTTTATGCAGATTTTAGAGTATTCACATGAAAGTCTTTCGCCAATTGGATGGAAATCTAGCTATTGAGAAAAGTCAAACCTAGTTTGGATGGAAACCTAGCTAATACACACTAAACAAGTCCCAGCACAAACCAACAGTAAATGACGTGTAGACGGGTTGGTTGTTTAGAAATAAAACCGCCGCATGTGCAACTATGGGGCAAAGCAGATGAGGTTGGCTTAGTTTACATGTTATCATCAATCTATGCTTCATCTCGTGTTTATTTAAAACAAAGTTGCACAATACAACGTTACAGTTGTTGTTTAGCAAGCAAATTTTTGCCATATTAGCATAGACGTGGCATCAGTCAAAACACCACCTCAAAACAAGACATGGAGTCAAGAACAAGATCAAACGACCTGAAACATGCCCCTTACGATGGCAGCCTCTTGTGATTGTTGCTAGCTATCTGCCTGTTCAGAATCATAACGCACGGCATTCTGCCCCTTTGGAGCGCGCGCTTCGTTTTTGTGGCGTCAGCTAAAACCGTCTGAACTAGGGTATTACATAATTGTATTACGTTTTTATTTGAAGTCCTGGCTGTAGGAAATGAAAGCAGGAAATAACATAGATTTCTGGGTATTTTTTTTGGTTCAAAGTGTTGTATCATTTGGAATACTGCACATGTAGCCTACACATGTTATTGAATCGTTTCCAAATGTCTGCCATTAAAACAAAACTCAACTCTACACTGTTGATGCAATGTACCTAGTGTATAAAGAAGGCAGTATTGAGTAGTCATTAAATTGGGTACACAGCACAGTATTAGAACAGACCAGACCATTGACATTTAGGTTCCTGGAGTGGAAATACTATACATAATAGACAGTGAATGCATAGTATTAAGGAGCCCCTCTAGCTTTTGCTAGGCAAAACTTACTCTACAATGTTGACATAATGTACCCCCACTGTATAATGTTAGGCTGCATTGAGTAGACACTACAGTATTGGCTAGCTAGACCACACCACCTCTCTCTCACACACACACTAGTCCACACCACGCCTCTATTGTAGCTTCCTAAGAACAGAAGTTTAACACGTGAGCATGAAGCCCTTGGTGCCCTCTGTAGCAGCATACTGTAGAGTTATGGACTAACATTTAGGATGTATTGCCCAACATATGGCTCCCATTAGTAGGGGACCAAGACCTTTTATTCCTAAAAAAGGAAACCGCTCTCATTCTTTCCAAATTAAATAAAGTCAACACTGATGATAGATCTGTTCTGGGTTTTGGGTCTTGGTTACCAAATATCCTTATCATCCATCTATTTAACTAACACTTTATTTGAACTGTACGTTATAACAGCATCATATTGTCATAAACATACATGCCCCATGCAGAACGTGATCCCACCTTGCAGCATCATGCTTCAATCTAAACAAAAATATAAATGCAATGTGAAGTGTTGGTCCCATGTTTCATGAGCTGAAATAAAATATCCTAGAAATCTTCCATACTCACAAAAAGCTTATTTCTCTCAAATGTTGTGCACAAATTTGTTTACATCCGTGTTAGTGAGCATTTCTCCTTTGCCAAGATAATCCAGCCACATGACAGGTGTGTCATATCAAGAAACTGATTAAACAGCATGATCATTACAGGTGCACCTTATGCTGGGGACAATAAAAGGACACTCTAAAATGTGCAGTTCTCTCACTCAAGTTTTGAAGGAGCGTGCAATTGGCATGCTGACTGCAGGAATGTCCACCAGAGCTGTTGCCAGAGAATGTATTGTTAATCTCTCTACCATAAACTGCCTCCAACGTCGTTTTAGAGAATTTGGCAGTACGTCCAACCGGCCTCACAACCGCAGACCACGTGTAACCATGCCAGCCCAGGACCTCCAAATCCGTCCTTTTCACCTGTGGGATCGTCTGAGACCAGCCACCTGAACAGCTGATGAAACGGAGGAGTATTTCTGTCTGTAATAAATGCCCTTTTGTGGGGAAAAACTTATTCAGATTGGCTGGGCCTGGCTCCTCAGTGGGTGGGCCTATGCCCACCCATGGCTCCACCCCTGCCCAGTCATGTGAAATCCATAGATTAGGGCCAAATGAATTTATTTCAATTGACTGATTTCCTTATATGAACTGTAACTCAGTGAAATTGTTGCATGTTGCGTTTATTTTAGTTCAGTATAGAATGGTTCTAAAGACGTCCAGGTGAACTGTAAGCACAACCCAGTGGAACGTGTCCAGTACTGGGTCTGGGTCGAGGCTACAGGGGATACACAGATGATCTGGAGGTGAAAGACATGAGACCGGCCAGACTCAGCTAGCCTCCTATTACCAGACTGAAACAAAGAAAAGAAAAGATGCACAATAACACAAAATACAGACAAAAGTACATCAACTTAACGATCTTAAACAAATTAAAGAGGGGTTTGTTCTGAGCCCACTTCATCTTATGAATAAAGAATCTTCCAAGAAAAATAAGCTAATTAACATTGAAAATTATATCGGGGGCATATCAGTTGGGTCAAAATAAAACATAATTTCAGTCTTCCAATTAAACATTAAAAGTGTTTTCCCTTAAAGTATGCTAAATCAATCCAACATCTTCTGACATGAGAGCAGTCAGAGTTTCTGGGTCACAACCATAACACACATTTGTCATCAATAGCAATTTGTACAGTAAAGGTCTTTACTGGCTACACTCTGTGAATTAGTTTAAATGATACTTCTTCCACCTTACTTTGTTCCAGTTCACTTGTCCCAGGGCTGCATTCCAGTATATTATAGCAGAAGGAATAGTAACACCTTGACAGAGTTTTCTTAGATATGTTATTACATTTAGATTTTAAAACATTTAAATTCCTTCAAGCAGAATTTAGGCTAGAAATTCCTCAACAGTTGCACCGCTATACTGCATTCTTCTAGAAGACGACAGCACCTCTAGGGATAGTACCAACAATTATTTGAAACTCCTCAGGAGTGATTGGAACATTGTGTGTTCTCATGAAGTCTGGATAATTATATAGTTGTCCATCATAACTCAATAATCGTTGATAATGCTGTTGTCAAACCAGTTCTGGAAAAACTAAGATTAGTTTTTGCATATTGTCTTTATTATTCAGAAAGTATTCACACCCCTTGAACTCAATACTAGGAAGGTGTTCTTAATGTTTTGTACACTCTGTGTATACTGAAATGGCATTGGATGTTCCCAAAGCAACAATTAAAGACATAGACACAATACTTTTTAATTTTGTTTGTAAGAATAAAACTCCAATGTGTAATATGTAATATTCAAGATCAGGGAGGTTTAAATGTGCTTGATTTTTGTACATCCAACAGTATTTTTAAGACTAGATACGTGAGAATGCTATTCATTGACTACAGCTCAGCGTTCAACACCATAGTGTCCTCAAAGCTCATCACTAAGCTAAGGACAGGACCCTGGGACTAAACACCTCCCTCTGCAACTGGATCCTGGACTTCCTGACGGGTCGCCCCCAGGTGGTAAGGGTAGGTAACAACACATCTGCCACGCTGATCCTCAACACGGGGGCCCTTCCTGTACTCCCTGTTCACCCATGACTGCATGGCCAGGCACGACTCCAACACTATCATTAAGTTTGCCGACGACACAACAGTGGTAGGCCTGATTACCGACAACGATGAGACAGCCTATAGGGAGGAGGTCAGAGACCTGGCCGTGTGGTGCCAGGATAACAACCTCTTCCTCAACGTGACCAAGACAAAGGAGATGATTGTGGACTACAGGAAAAAAAAGAGGACTGAGCACGCCCCCATTCTCATCAACGGGGCTGTAGTGGAACACGTTGAGAGCTTCAAGTTCCTTGGTGTCCACATCACCAACGAACTATCATGGTCCAAACACACCAAGACAGTCGTGAAGAGGGCACGACAAAGCCTATTCCCCCTCAGGAGACTGAAAAGATTTGGCATGGGTCCTCAGAGCCTCAAAAAGTTATACAGCTGCAC